AGCGAATGGACTCTTCTCTTCTGGTTGGCAGCTGTGTGAGTGGATGTGACACGTGAAAGAGACAGCTAGAACCGACTCAAACCCCTTTTCTCTCTTTCTAACTGTTGTTTTTTTTTTCCTCTTCAACAAAAAAATTGGAGAGAAGAGCCCGGAAAACAGCACACCGAGACAAGACGAGTATGAGTGACCCGGAAGAACGACAGTGGAGGAGTATCTCTGAATTCTCAGAGTGCACATATCTTCTTCGGTAGTTTCGTGAATTTTAATCAAGGCCGAGGTGAAGATGCTGACGAGTACCCAAGGAGCTATCCACTAATGGATTGCCAGGTAAATCCAAAGGCGAAACATCCACAAAACTAGGTCCAAAAGATTTGGCACCATTTTTCTTTCTGCGTACATCATCTAGGAGGGGAGAACTCGATTTCATGACAATGCCAATGGCGAAGGAAGTGTATGAACACGATAATTTTGTGTGCAAGAAATAACGACGCGCAGGCAATATAAGAACAAATAGCGGTGCACTATTCCTATTTTATTCAGTATTGAAAGGGAGATGATGGAAATAACGAAATAATGGGAGATGCGGAAATACCGGGAATTCTTAAGCTCTAAAAAAATGTGACTTCAAACTCTCAGACTTTACCTTCGAGCTGAGATTCAAATCACGCCAGTCCCTCTCGTCTTGCATTCTATGGTTTCTGTGTCAGCATCTTTGAACTCTCTGGAAGAGGAAATGAAGATGAAGAAAAAGAGAGGCTGCTTTTGCCACACCCCTTCAGCCCTTTCCTGAAATCTCTATTTTCATTTTCCATTTCTTTTATCTTCTGCGATCCCTCGGCCGAATTCGGGAAGTGGAATTTATGGGGAGCGGCTATAAGGAGTCCAAGCTGAAATGTAAATTGCCTGTTCATAAGATTGGAGATGGTGCCTTTTTTTTCAACGAAATTTTCGGAATATGAGAAATTATTTTGAATATAATTGGAGGAAAATGTCGCATAGTTTCTTGTGATCTGATAATTCATTTGAGAATTGCAAAACTCTCGTGTAATTTTCTGTCAATTTCTCTCACTGGATATAAATTAATTTCTGTGCACCGAGAATCGCATTACTGCCGATGCCTGATTAAGACTAGTCGTAACATAAACCGATGAACATTTTCCGTGTTTAAAGGTACGGTGCAACGATCTTCAATTACATCTGGTACTTCTCTCCACTTCGTATATTGCCGACTCAACCCATATTACATACCGGTGTTTGGTCTCCGTTGAACGAAATAGTCCAGAAGAATTTTCCTCCCACGGGTTGCCAGGGCACCTCTGGACCCAAAGAGGCAACTTTCTAATAACTGTTTTCTCTCTCGCTCGAGAAAATACAGTGAAATTGGACGGGGATTTCAAGCGTGAGTCTCCGAGAGCCTTATATATTTTCCGAGTAAGGCTTCGCTGGGACATTCATTCGTTATTGAAGTTCAAGTTTTGCATTGGGATCTTTCTTTCTTCAGCTTCTGGTAATCAATTTCGGGATCTACGGAAATACTTAATGGGACTTTCCTGCGAGTTCCATATAAACAACCGGAATTAAGACATTAATTACACAATGGAGGGAGCGAAGTTCTTCGGAGAAATGAGCATTGAAAAGTTTTGGGAAAGTGGAAGCTCGCGGATAGTTCCAAATGATGACATTATTTTGGTGGTGGAATATCAATTCCAGTTTCGAGCTATCATGTGCGATTGATCGAGAGTCGTTCACAGCTCCCGCGGATTTCATTCTTTTTTTTTTCAACAAATGCTTCGTTACATTTTGTGTATATCTTCATATAACGCAGTATGAAAAAACAAATATACACTTCAACTTGAAAAAATGTCTCTCACTCGTAAAAAAAAACTCGATATTTACTCAAGAACTTGTGTGCTGAAAACTGTTGACAAAAATATGACGTTGTTTGTGTTTGACATTGTGTTGTTCTATTTTTTCGTGCGGCTCGATGGGACATTGGTCGACTAAAACAAAATGAGAAAATGTAGGCTTTACACAGCTATTTCTGCCCAACAATTTCTTATTTACCGGTCATTAATCACGACAGATCTTTGAAATTTGGCAATTGATTTGCGCATTTTTACTGACGATTCGAAAATTGAGGAGAGCATTTTAATCGACGAACTAATCAATTATAACATTTTGATTCACTGAACTCACCCCTAACGGAGAGCTGTAAGAAAAGAAATCTAATAAAATCAAAAAAAAAACAAAAAAATTATTTTTTGGTAAGAATTAAATATACACATTAAATTTGATAGTAAATTGCAAATTCAAATAAAATATAATGTTTTCTCGTTCATATTCAACATGTAAGTATTTAAAAAAATCTGGAATCCTAATTTCGAATGACAAAGAGAAAGTTGACCGGATTGTGTCATCCTCTTTGGGAATTCCTGAACTAAAAAGAATTCACCGATAAATTTGCATTTTTAATTGAAATCTCGGACGGTTAGGTGCAAACAAACTTAACTCACCGGAAAAAGTAAACTCTCCTCTCCGTGTCATTAAACTCTGGGAAACACACAAAAACTAACTTGGAGTATTCGTCGTGCTGTCTCGGAAAGTGGAAGTCAATTTCTTTTTGTCCTTTCGCACCCAGGCTTCTGTGGTCATTCGGGTAATTGCAGTAGAGAGAGTGAATGAGAGAAAATGAGAGAGATATATACATGTAGGAGGAAAAGAGAAAAGCCGCCGGCTCTCCTGCCGCTCGTTGTCCACACGGTAGGGCAAAGCATTCACCCGAGAAATTTGCAATTAAAATTGGACGGCAGAAATGCTCGTTAATTAACGCGTGGTTCATTATATGGGCCGCTGCCGGTTCTTTTTCGGCGGAAAAGCTCCAGATATAAATTGAAATATTAACTAGATACACAGCAAAATAATTTATTGCGTCATTATTCGCCATCATCGATAATTTTACGAAATTCAAAATAATTAATTTCACCCTTTAATGGATCGAGATAACATGTTGTAGAAATATCAAGCATTTTACTTTTTAATATCCGTCAGGGGGGCGAGTTTGACGAGTTTTATCGTCTCAGGAAGAAAATCCCACGTCCCCGAGAATTCCAAGGGAAGCTGCCATTTAATCTGATTTTTGTTACAGCCGAGACGCCATCGCAACAGTCTTATCCGCAGGAAATAAATACCCATCGAGTTCAGGGAAATGGTTCCACATGATTGAGTTATCAGTGATGTGTGGGCAATCATTCAGACGGTTGATTCCGAGGTTGATTCTCATTTCCTAATGGACTCCCCGAATGGGGGTTCTGATGACGGAATTGAAGTGTAAACTCTGATTGGTAACAATTTAGCCGAGATACCGCATACTCTCGGGGTTGACTCGAGTTAACTGTTGCAAATTTTGGTTGATTCCACGGAAAATATGGCGACAATTCTCCTGAGAGTATACTGTTCCAAAATTACACCTGAAAGTTTTAATAAAAATATTTGAATTTTTTAATAATTCTTCTTCGATAAATCAATAATTATTTAACATAAAACCCCATATTTCTGGCATTGTCAACATAAATGACAAATTAAGTAATTGTTTTTAATTGAAATGAACTTATCGAAATTACTATAAATTATCGAAATTGAAATTGAATTTAAACTGATATAATTGAAAATTCACATGATTTTGGCACTCTCATTTTGAAAAATATATTAATACATATTAAATGCATTTACGCCAATGAGAGTTCTATTCGCTAATTTTTATCAGTGTATTATCGACGTGACCGGGGATTTGAGGAATCCATTGCGGAAGCAGTACATCGTCTATCGATTGCGAGTAGTTCATGTCTCCTGGCGATTATTATCGGCGAATTCGACAGCCTTCAGGGTTATCTGCTCACGATATATATATTAATTATCGAAATGCATCTCCTCTATAAGCACTCGAACAGTTACCCTGTAAATTTTGGCGAGCGTCAAGCACTATAACCCTTCACTCGATTGACTAAGTGGCTTATCGATGCCACAGGCATTTCCTCTCCTACGCACACAACAACGTATCTTGGATAATCGAGTATAACCTACACCTAGGAAAATCCATATTGATCGATAAGAAGTTGGGATAACTCGGATTGACTATGGATGCAATTAAATTCCAATCCCCCCGGTTTAATATACTCTGTTGATGAGTACGGAATTTTTGAAAAATTTCACTGCTCATTTTCTCGAGAGAGAAATTTACGCGAAGAAAAAATGTCTCGTTGAAAAAAAGTGAGTACTTTTTATAATGATTACTTCGTTATCTCCGGCTATCAATATACCGTCACTTTATTTAATGAACGGATCAATAAATGTTTCTCATCGATAGTTGGATAAATTCTATCGGTAGTAATCTTCTGCACGAAGGAAAAATTGTAAAAGGTCAGGGTATGATGAAATTACTGGGAAGCTTCTCGTTAAGTCTTCATTGGAGAGAAAAAATAGCCTGGATGCTACCACTAATTGTAAGCTGATTACGCACGAAGGAAAATCTTCTGCTCACTTTAGCAGAAATTACACAGGCCTCCATTTTATTTATTTAATTCTCGTTAATATTCACGGGGATACGCCAATTGATTGGATATTCGAACTGTTCTTGCAATCATTATCATATCTCTAGGAATAGATGCCTCTGAAATTTAATTGAAAATAAAATGCGATACATTTTGAAATCTTTTAACGAAAGTATTGTATTCATTGAAAAATTTACAATTTATTAATTATTTCAGTAGAGACAGTTTATCCTTTACGCATAAACGTGTACCAATTTTCATAGTCGCGAGGCCCAAATGAAATTGCAATTCCCATCACCAAATGTTTATTAATCAAGATATTTATCCCTTCAATTCAAATTAATGAACATTCTGGGATAAGTCTAATACTTCGTTCAAATTCAAAAACGTAAAAATTCAAATGAACTGCAAAAAAATTATTCAATTTGTATGTGTTTGATTTGCATGGTCCGGTGACCTCGAATTTCATTTTTTTTTTTCAAATAGTCCTTCAATTATTCACCCGTCTCTTCAGGAACGTACCCCGTGAAATACCAAATCGAATCATCCGGTTGGCCGTGTAGCTCTCATTTTTCATGCAGAAGAGGTGCCCAGGTTTTCTCCTACCCTCGCGGTCGTGACTGCACACAGTAACGACAGGAAAAATGGTTTTTACTGAGACTCCTGGCAGTTGTCCGACCGTCCGCGGAATATCCCCAAAGGCAATTGCACGTCTCCAAGGTGTTTTTCCCCGGGACAACTGTCTCAAGAACGCCAGTGAGAATATCCAGTACGCGACATCCGAACATTTCGCCTTGAATCGTCCGAACGTCCAGACCCCCTTGAGCCCTTGATGCCAACGCCAAGGTACCTCCAGTAATCTCATGAGTATCTAGTTAGGAAAAAAAAATGAGTCTCAACAATCGTACAGCGCAAACGGAAACAACACCCGATGGAGGAAGCCCGTGGGTTCATTCGACTTCCACAGGAAAAGTTATAATTTTCAGAGACTGACCCCAATTTAATAATATTTAATATTATTAAATATATTTATAAATAAATAATAATAATATTTCCAACTGCTAAGATAATCTTTACCTGTAATTCAACATTTCCCCTTATGTTCAATAATTTATAGAACAAACACAACCGAATAAGTGGTGAATTGCTGTTATTAAAATTATGAATAAAATTATGAAATTCTGTAAATATACAACATTTTCAAACGCAAAAATTCTGGACTTGCGTTGAATAAATTCTTTATTAATCAGTAAATAATGTGATAGAATATCTATAGTAATTTACTGTAATTTTGAGTTGGTAGAGAGAAAGGCTGGAATAAAACTGAATTTATTTAATTGAAATGCGGAATTTGTTCAAGTGCAATTAACTGTTGGTGGTCTTTGCAGGATGGTAATATCCCTTTGACGAAAAGGTTTGTCAACGGTGATACAATATTCCAAGCCGATTTATCAAATTAATAATCCACAATAACTCAGACCGCAACCACTTAATTATTCACAATATCGTACAACAGGGTCCTGATGAATAATTGATATTGCTTTTGGAAATATTAAACCGGATAAACACCGAAGCTGGGTGCGGTACAAAAACATTTGGGGTGAACGACACAGTGAAGCACCATACTGCATGTTTGGAAATTTAATTTGTTCCGTGGGTGCCATGGAGAGCGCGAGGGGTTCCAATTTTGCCCGGCAATAGTGGCAAAAAGCCATCGGCTATTCTCTCCGTTAAATGTGAAAAATTGATATTGTTATTATAGAGCTTAACCCTCTGGTCTAGCGTCACGACTATCTTTTCCCTTAACGTTACCATATGGGGACGCACCCCAGAAAATCCCCGTAAAAATTAACGCCACCTGAAACATCACGGGATAAAGTAGACTTAACTGTTGGGTATCGCTTGCTATTGTACGACCAGACCTTCAGAAGCCGTACGCACATTGACTTTTAATACTCTCTAAAATTGTATCGTCCAATTACACGAAATTATTTGTGGTGATTAAAATGTGAAGCACAGCGAAAGAAAATCAGATATCGAATTGTTTTCAGAAAAAAAAAAAAAATCCTGGAAATTATCTCCATTTTTTATAATCCCATGAAATTTTTCCGTCTCATTATTGTCCAGATTTTCCGGTCATATTCGCGGATCGAGTAATTCCAGCGGAAACCTCTCGACGATTTCGCGTTGTACGATTTTTAAGCGACAATTGAAGTAGGACAAATATTCTCAACTTGCACTTTGAGAGATTTATTTCACGCAAAATTTTCGTTTGAGTGTCAGAGGGAATATAAGAGGAGAGGTGGGCTGACGGCACAGCTGGTGCGGTAATGAAGAACCAAGTGCTTTCAGCGACGGGAAATCGACGATAAACTTGGCTCTCATATAGCCCACCAGTCTACTCACACGCCCTTCTCAGTATATTTTCATCGTGAAATAGATGTGCCTTTGGGTGCAAAATGCATCTGGCGGAATCCACCATGGTTCAAGATTTTATGTTTTATAAACAGGGAGTCGAAGGGAACAGAAGATGGGGGGAGGGTTATCTATTTCTTGATATTGCCATTGAAAAATGTTTTTTATGAGCATTTATGCTCTTCGAGATTGCAAAATTTTTTAATGCCTGTCAGCGAAAAATGGGATGGGTAGCGTAAAACAGGGTTGGATGGAAAAATCGATGGAATTTGTCTCGCGGCTTGTGGGCTGTGGTTTTAAAAGATTTCTTGAGAGTGGAGTACGTTAAAATGTGGCCTGAGGGCACTCTGCATGACAGCTACGTCCACTTTTTTTTTTCTTCTTCACTGTCTTTATTATTTACCTTTTGGTTTTTTTTTTGTGTTGAGGCGAGGTGGTCGGGGCATGAGTTGTCTCCCGCAAGGGCTTGGAGATAAAGGAGACAAGGGCTGGAGCACTTTAAACGTGCGGTATGCAGCGGTTGGAGGAAGAGCGTTGGGTAATCACGAGGTTCTAGCCCTGAGGGTACAAATTCTTTTCCTCGGCCAAGCATGAAAAGGGGGATGCACCTTTACACCGGGTTATGAAAGTTACAGACTCACCGACACGTCAGGGTTCTTACCGGGCCCAGGATGATAGTTGGAGATCGCCGGCGGCGACTTTTCGCGGTGAAAAAATATTCTTTCGTCGAATGTCAACGGCTGCAACTGTTGAGTCAGCCGGGACGGTAAACATGAAATGGATTTCAGAAGATAATACTGCACACTCAGGGAGGGATGAAGAATTTGAAACAGAAAATAAAAACATTTCGAGTTCTGATAATTTGAGAATGAAAGATTGTTTACCAAACAAATTGAATTCACAAAAATCATGAGTGCACTGTTGGAAATTCTGGAAACACTTCTGTAATTTCTAGTGAACATTTTTCTCCCTGTAAATTCAACTATTTTTGTGGTACATGATTTTCTCTTTGAGTCCCGAGACACGTGAATTACCCAAACAGTCTCGTCGAAATTGTATATTATTTTGATGAGGTCGGAGGGTGAGTCAACACGTCTGGTCAACAACATTCGTCCGAGTTTTTCTTCTATTTTCCTCGTGACCCGCATAGTACCGAGGCATACGCCGGCATTCAAACCCAACCCATTTCATACCTAGGTTTATACAGTTATACGTTTGTGTTGCCGCTGAAGAGAGCCACGGGGAATACACAGGGGTTTATTGACTGTCGCAAATCGCATAGGTGAGCCTAGACTCTCGCGTTGGATTATTGAGTTGCTGGCCTGCATGGTTGCATATGTGGAAAATGTACGTGAATTGTGAATGGGGCGAGGGGGTGGTTTCAGGGAGAAGAAGAGCACCCGCATTCATCACGGTCACGTAGCAATATTCAAATAAAGCCTCATGGTTCTACGGCTCGTAGAAAAGGGCTCGTTGTGGACAGTCGGCTGTTACTGGCGGTTTAACAAATAGTCTCATAATAACTGGCTATCGGAGGTCCACTATTCGACCAGTCGAATCGGGGGATGAATTAAGATCGAGTGGCCTTTTGTCATCAAAAGATGGATTATGCATGGAACGTAGTATTTCAATAACTCAATCGCAATGCCAGGAGAATCCTGCTAAATGAGATGTCTGACCCCTCGGGATAATTAATATTGCAAACTTGAGTTGGTCGAATTAATGAGCTCGGTTCTTCCTCGTGAATTGTAAAAAGGGATCGTGGAAAGCGGACAGCGGGGAAACTGGAACGGCACATTCGCGATTGGTCGGAGGGAGATATCTTTTTATTCACCATGAGAGATCAAGCATTCAGAGAAATTTCCAGAGTGCATTTAGTTTAGTGAAATTAAAGGGACGACCACTCTGGAGTTAAATCAATTCTTTTGGATGGATAATAAGGTTATTGCAGGAATTTAGAAGTTTTTTATGGTAAACTATAAAAATCAATTTAGTTATTGTTATTGGCTGAAGCCAGTCGGCTAGACTATTTTACTAAATTTGATTGAACAACAAGGTTACTGTAAATCCAAGTATAAGTGTCGTAACAATTTCTCCAGTGGAAGGAAGTAAAGTATTTTTTATTGTATTTTTGAAGCAATTTGACCTTTTGTTACCTTAAGGGTCTCTGTGGATTTTCTCATTGGCGACAGTCGCTTCATCCACGGATTCATGATAATGCTTCATTTCTCAATAACTCTGCCAAGACATTCTTGACAGAAATGTTCTTAATTACTGTTGTTATTCAGCTCTGCTCCCCGGGATTTGAACGTAAAATTAATTAGTCCTCACCGTCTTCATCAGGCGCTCACAAATATCTACAAGTGTGCGAGTAATTAAAATAAGAAACTGCTGGCTATTAATTAATGCTGTCGTACTGGAGAGTGGGTAGAGTGGGTAGGGCCCATTTGTTACTCGCGAATTTTATGAAATGGGGTGAATTGAACGTGGGAATTTTGAATTGTTTTATTCACTCAGTTCAGGGGATTATTAAGAAGTATTTCCGGGGGTGTAATTCAGAGAAATTCATTACTACGCATTAGGGTAAGGAGTTTTTTAATTGACAGTCTCATGAAACTGTGGAGGCACTCGTTTCACCCCAGTGCTGCGTATGCAAATTTTCGGGATGTTTAATATTTTGGAATAATATTTTGTCCATTAATATTTCAATCCTGACAAAAGTATATTTAATAGAAGATCTCCCAGAGCATCAAATGGAAAAGTACTTTCTCCCCATTTCAGTACTCGAAATATAAAAAAAATGTTGGCTGACTCTTTCCATCTCCATTCCCGAAAAGTCGTCCATCGCAAACTCCAGATATTTAAAACTTTTCTCCAGAGAATGTACTCTGACGAATGCTGTGGAGCGTAAAATTTTACAGACCTATAAAATAACAGGATTTGTGAAGGTATTCCGGGCTAATGGAAAAAAATAATGAAGGACCCTTCCGCAGTGAATGAATATGTTACATTGAGCATTAGTCGTAGGGATTGAAAACGGCTGTAGTCAGGCAGTTGCAGTAGTTTCAATCCACACTGGTCGGACAGTGACCAGTAGATTTCATCCTCCGCGGTTGAGCACACCGCCAGTCATATTTTATTTGAATATAAACTTTCTCCAACTGCAACCCCTGTGAGCAATTTTTTTTTTCATCCTAATATTTTCCCCTTCCAGTGTTCTTTTTTATTCTATCATCATTTTTTTTCCCAACGAATCCCTCTATTTCCGCAGTATCCTGGAGAGAAATGGAATATGAAGCTCACCCAATGTAATTTTTGTGCAATTACTTTTTTACGGTTTGGCACGCACTCCGCATATAATCGTAGTCCGAACGTGGTACCGCGAAATATTTCCATGGGGCATTATTCCGGATTTAATGCGATTTTCACACCGCTACTCTCGCCCAACGCGTTATTCTCTATTACATTCCCCGCTTTCGTTATTTTCTCCCTCGTCACAATGTTTTTCCTCCTCTATTCCTAGTCCTTTTTATTTTTTTAAACCATTTTTTTTTCACGCGGAAATCAGTCATCCAGCCGATGCCGCGGCATTTGTATTACGCGACGAGCGTGTACCCAGTTATGCAACATCCTAGGATCGCTGAAATAATTCATCCGAGCTGTCGTGTGCAGCCTGGCAACTTGTACGCCAGATACTCATTCATACTCCCATCGTTGTTTGTTATGATGGTGTTGGTGGGGCTCTTTTGAGAATTGCCGCTATTTTTTTTAACCCATTTTTTAAACCCATTTTTTGTGTCAACTCATGCCGACAGTCCCAGAACGACGAGCCGGTAGTCTCAATCGGTTTAATCCATTCTTCTCGAGAAATCGAATGTCACCCGAATTTACAGCTTTCCCGGCAATTTTTCGAGGCAAATATCCATCGGTAATCTTACCTATTCCATACGAAAATTCGCATTCCCCATCTTATTTTCACCTATCATGGGATCAAATCGTGAAATTATTATGTGGTTTTCGCTAAAAACTCATGAACTTCAATTCAATTCGCCCTCAATTTGAAAAAAAAAATTGAAAAAAATTTTCAAGCCGATCTTTCCCCTAAATCCGACTGAACGTCACTCTAAGGAGAGTAACAGTCATATTTCGGATGAAATTTCTCGGGAAAATTTCTTCTCAAATCGCAGGATTACGAAATAGGTGTAAGGTCTAGGTATTCGACTTGGGTTTCCCGTCATCCTTGTTTAGGGTCTGTTCAGCCGTTTTTCCCCCATTTTTTGAGTGCATGATGTCCTGGTGGAAAGCCCCTCGTCCATTCAGCGACAGCTATGACAGCCGAGGACGTTATCGGTTGCTTTCAGGAGCGACTATCGCCTCACCACCTAGCCGAGAATTTCAGGGTAGATGTACGTGTGGATTACCCCACGTGTAGCAAACATACTGACACGTTCATGATAACGTACCTCAGGAAGGTGGTGAAAAAGTCGCCGTGAAAGACAGATCGATTCGTCCAGGCCTCCGACATTTTCCCCGGAATTCCGCATTGATTGTGTCAACACGTTCAATGATGTTGTCGCTGACAGTGTTATCATTGTGCTAACTCTGGGATGAGAAATGTCAAGCCGCCCAGAAGGGAAGTGCACGTGCCGTGTAACCGAGATGTTGACGTTGAAATTTGCAAAGGCATACTCTACCCGCATATCTAATTATGGAGCCTCATATCTCGCTTCATCATCGGACCTTTAACAACTGCACTACAAAAAAAAATGCAAACTCAAAATGTCAAGCTCCTATTCTAAAAATGACAGACAGGTCGCACTTTCGATATTAGTCTATCCCGCTTATTACTCATTAGAATAATAGAGGAAATGAATAATCTATGAAGTAGCTCGACGGAGGTCTTCGCTCTCAATAATGGAAAGTAGTGAATTGTTTCGAAACTCCCTGTAAAACCTTCCCAACTCCTTCTTTAACCTGACAATCCTTTCTGTCAATTATAGAAGTTTAGTAATAATTGAAGAACGAGCAAGTGGTAACTATTTCCAGGAGCAAGAAAAATGCCGAAGTACTTGGTTTCTCCGAGGGAAAAAGTACCCGTTGTTCCTCAACAGTTTTTCTTCTCCCGACTTCATCAATTACCCGAATGAGATAGTTTTTTCGTCTTTACTCGAAGTAATCACCGACACATTCATCCACAATCAAGACAAGTACGCGCCCCGCAGCGTCAATCTAAAGATAACCTTTTCTCCTTCAAATATGAGGTCATAAATTGAAATACATACATGAAAGAATCCAGCAGAAAAAGGAGAAAATTCAGTGTAAGATCCCCCAGAATTTCCTAAATGTTTTTCTTTCATCAGGCTTAGCCTAAACTCGTTGGAAAATTAATAACAATAATTTAGTAACCCTCATTACAAACCTCTGGGCAGCAAAAATAATTGACAGTAGCATTATTTACGAGTGGGATTAATGAGCGAGCATGTTTTTCAGTGATGCATAAATGCCACAGATAATGAAGGTCCAGTGGGTGTACCAAAATAATGAGGTAAATTTTATCATGGATACCTCGGTATAATTGATACCGATATTTTATACGGGTGAGCGGGTCCCTGTGTTTATGTACAGTCCGAGGGGGATATAAAATCTCGGGGATCATACCGAAAGAGAACGGTTAAGTACAGGGAGAAAACCTAGAGGAATTTTCCCCCTACCCCGGGGGGGATTTTCCTAGATTTACCGCAGGATATTATGCAGATGGTGCTTGCACTAAACGGCCACTACAATACCCTGAGCAACTACTAGCTAAACAAAAAGTTGACATGGAAATTACGAAAGGACAGACTATCGTCTAATTGGAAAGGGGGAAAAAAGTATGAGTGACATGGCGTCAACCAACGCCAAATCCCATTTCCCTGAAGAAAGTTATCCACAGGGGTATAAACCCACCACCACTCCGACATTTCAACTGACGTTAGCCTCACCGCGAACGTACATTTCATCCACAAGATGGGGTTATAACGGTAACGTGACTCGGTGAGTATCCCCTGACAAGTTACTTTAAGGTCACATGCAACAGCCAAAGTGCACATGTGCATCTCCATATACTCGTCAATATAAAATATGTCAGTTCTATCCTTTCTGCGTGAAGGGCTTCACTCCCTTTAAAATTCAACTCCAAAAAGCAACGAATCTTGTTGAGTCGGGAGACGTCGATGCTCGTACATGTTACATGAACAAATTGCTATCGGAGATGCGCGCCATGACAAAGTACTTTCTTTATTTTACTCGCGTGTCTCAAACTGAATGGGAGATGCACACGGCTATTTTTTTTTGTCACAGCGCATGGCGCCACCCTGTCACCGACCGATTGGGGATTACAGAGTCAATATTGCAGTAGCCATTTTGCATGCTTCGTAGTCGCAAAATATGCATTAACTATAATTGCTAAAAGTGTGTAAGTGCATTCGACTGCATCGTCTATCCTCGTGCCAACCGTTTCAGAAGAATCATTTATAAAAAACCAAAAAAATCGTGAAGAATTTTTTTTTTCTTTTTGGATATAGCGGATGGGATTGCGCTATGGGAGGACGAATTGTGGGTGGCAGATAACAATAACCATTTTGTGGGATACCGTATTCGTAAAATATACATGGAATAACGATACTTTGGGATTCAAGATGGGGACCTTACACTCATGATTTATGCCGTCGACTTTGGTAGTGAGAGGTAAAGCACTCACACCACCCTGGAGTGGTGTTAGCCGCGAATATGGTACCCCCTTGTACTTTAAACGGAAATACGAGGTAACGGTAGCACCATGAGGCAATGTACATGACTTCTTCGAGCTTATGATTAGTCAATTGTTGGAATCCTTTATTACATTGCATTGTAAAGCTCGACTCACCGACATGAAAAACCGCATGAAAATGGGATAACTATATATTATTTCAACTTATTGACCTGCACGATCAGAACGAGTTCAATAAAATTTACGTGAAAGCTCCACAATTCACTGGTTTCCTCATTTTAATAGCGCGTGTTCTTTCTACACAATTCCGCGACATTTGACAAAACTTATTCATGAAACATCGGAGAATCTCCATAATTCCCTTCCAAACCGTAAGGAATCCCTGAATGTCTTGGAGACAGTTGTTTTCTCAAAAACTGACATTTCCAATGAAACCGGAAATGTCTCAACTACTGTCTCCAACTCGGAGTTGCAGGTTTCAAGGATATACATTACGTCGACACATATTCCTTGACGCAGTCGTTGGAGAGCTGTATACGTACCTCATACATCAGGTGACGAAGTAACATCTCCGTGGTGTCGGCACTTCCGCACTTGCCTCCCTTGGCCCAACTGTCTTCATTCATTCTGCACCACTGTATCCGGCAAACAATTCCATCCACATGTGGAGGACATGTTTCCAGTACGTGTGTTCTTCACGACTTCCTGGGGATCAAAGTAACGAGATGAAAAAAAAACCATTAACCCCCTGAAGGATTACCCTGGCTAATCGGATCTTGAGGAGATCGGGAGATGCGTCGAGACGAAAACACAACCCCGCGACCACCGACACTGGCATCACTGTAACCAGGTGTAATATTGTTTTAATTATGCAGCCAGCATTCGAGCATGAGAGCGTTATTAATTTTAGTGCACCCCCCAGGACTTACCATTACTCGGTGAGTTTGTGAGAGCCAACAACACGCTCCAGTTACTCTGTCTCTTATATCTCTCTGCGCACCCTGTGTCTCATTCTCGCACAACTCCACATCGTTTCACCCACTCGACATCATGGACTCTACCTTCTCACGATGCACAGCCTTGGCTTTCCAGGGGTATATGCATAAAGGCATCACGCTGTTTCTGGTGCCGTATACTTGCTCATCTTCGAGATCCTACCTGAGATCCTCGAGACGGCGAATTATTCCCCAGGCTTAATTAAACTTCACCACGTAGCTTGCTGATTCCTTGATCATCGGAGAATAGTTGTCTCCACTTGTTCGTTTATTTATTCTCCATTCCAGGTTCGAATGATACTGCACTTGGATTTAAACTGTTAAAAATTTTCTGAAATTTCGGTCACAAAGTCATTTTAATTTTCAATTATGTGAGTCTGGATTCAATTTCAATAAAAGTCACTAAATTTGTGAGTTATTTGCAAAATCCCAGAAATGGGATTGCAGACTATTAATAATGTTCGATAATGATTGATGTTTCAATGAAAGCTTGAATTTTCATGCTCAGGTTTCACCGTGAAAACTGAACTTCAAATTCGATTAAATTTTCAATGGATTGAAAATTCAGGGAAATTTCAAGTGCATTGTTCCAACAGTGTAGGATATTTCAGATTGAAATTAATTCCCTGGAAATTGATGAAAACCTAATAAATTAATAGAGACGTTTAAAATTTCAATGCAATTACAGTCCTTACAAATTTAGAAATATAAATTTGAATGAAAAGTGCATTTCAATGACAAGATCTCTTGAAACATCACTGCAGCTGTCAGTGGATCAAAATATTCAGCACTTGTGCTGAAAAACTTGAACCGAAAATTTTCACCAGTACTGCATCACTCGTGAATGATCGTTTAAAAAAATTGCGATGTACAAGCCTCTTCGTACGCATCGACCTGTTTTTATTCCAAATCCGTATCGTCGTACAGTTTGAAATGACTCTGTTCGGTGCTAATCCCATGAAAAATACTTCAGTGTCTATATTGATTATGCCATCGAGGACCGGAGAATGGATAACACTAGAGCTCCGGATGGGTTGAAGGTGCGCCCGGATATAAAAATATTGTCACGAGGAAAATGAAATATGTTCAAGTCATAAATCACGTACGACTGAACATTCTCCCTGGGAGTTCCCAGCTGAAGATGAAAAGAGGCGGCAAAAACTGAAATAAACGCATAAGCAGAATTGAAGATATGCTCTTCATAAACCAAGTGCAGTGCATTATTTATTTCACCAATTATTCTCCCAGAAATAACACAAGAATCGTCTAGAATGATAAAACTTTTTTTTCCACCGCCTTCCCCTGAAATTCCACCATTCGGCTATTCCCCGCCATTTCCGCCTTTTTGCAAAACTTTCCCCTTTTAAATAAAGACTATTCCGTAATTATGGTATACCCTCGAGTGGAATAAAATTAATGGCCGAAATAGCGGAAAAATTTTAACTGCATATTACAGCGTAAAATGTAGCATATATTTTCATTTCAGCATTGTTAATTGTTAACAGCGTTCTATTGGTATAATAAAGGCATATACTCTCATCATTATCGTAAACACCTGGGTGTCGGTGTGTCTCATGCATCAAAATGAATTCGCAATACCGCATAGGTGATGCATGTGGTGCACATGAATATATAGAAAGCAAAAAAAAAAAAACCATTTGAATTGCTCGACGTATCCTATTATTTTGCGCAAGAGTAATTTTTCCTCGTTTTCCGGACAGTTTGCCCTGGACCCCCGGAAATGCAGTAGATTACGGGTAGACCTGCAGATATAAATAATCTCTCTCCGTCTTTTCCGACATTCGTGACCACTGTACAGTTGACTTATTTTGTTTTTTACCACCGTCGAAACTTCACCTCGAACTTAATCACATTATTTCTACGATATCACAATAAACTCGCAGTTTACGATTAACTGCATTGTTATTGTTCACGTCATTTCTGATTTTCTCTGGTTTATTCATGTCACTGGAGCGTTAACGCTCTTTTATCTCACTCCTCGAATCGGCAGATTGGAATAAAACGGATTAGTTGAGCGCGAGAGTTGGCAAACAGAACGGTAGAAGCAGGAACGAATGTAAATGAATTAAACCATACACGCACGTCACTCTAATCAGCAAGTTGGATAACGAGGCAAAAAAGAGAACTGTTTGAATTAAATGAACGAGCGAGTTTCAGCAGATTACCGATAAATTTCAAACCCTTCGTTGCCATTTGAGTTTAATCCAATACGTTATCGCTGGTAGCCATTGCAAGCTTGGCACCTGGCGAAACATGTCTAATGTAGTCCAATCGACGTTAAATTACAGATTTCATCATCAGCCTTTGACGTCATAGTCAGGGAGACGTAAAATTCCAATCACATTTTGAATATTCACCTAATGGGATCCCCCAGAAAAGAACGTAGACGAAACGTCACTATTTCCTCACATCGTTTCAAGTAATTTTGCATACCACCCCTTAATAGCACCTAGGGGTGCGAATGGACTTCCGGCGATTTTGTTCCTCTTGAATTATCTTCCGAGACCCCCCGTACGCCCTCGCATGAAGGCTCACGTAGGAAATCCGAGGAGAACGAATGAAACTATTACAGTCCCCAAAGTTCTCCAAAGTAACTTTAGGAAACCTTTTACAGTACCATTTATTATCCATACATATGTAAAATAGTCTAGTTTAGTAGCATAAGCTGTTATATTCCCTACACTATTTCGTAAAATCCCACGTCAATCATAGATAGTCGACTGGTTCTGCCCCAGTCCCAGTCAGCAGTATAGCCGACCTCATTAGTTCAATGTCTCTTTTCATTCCGTTGAAATCTCGCCCGACCTCCGCCTCGACTTTATCCAAAAAGCCAGTCAGAAAGTCGGATCTTGTGTTGTACAAGCTGATATTCATTAGTTTAACATGTGTCAAGGGCTGAAAGGATCCACCGTACCAGTTCCACATGTTAGCATAGGCCTCTTGAACATCGGCCGTTAATTTCTGTCTATCCAATCCGTACTGAATAATTTTGTATACATTCACTTGATCCGTTGTAATCCCTTCAAGGATTTCCCGCACCGGTTCCGCTCCCGCATCAGTGCAAAGTACCAGAGATATCTGCTCCTTAATCGCTCTTGACAGGGTTTCATTGCCTCTAACGAACAATGTTGTTAACGACTTCTCGAGGATTGCTCGGAGGAAGCGACCTCGTGTTGGGAAGCGGCCCATATCAAAGTCCTCTCCTAATTTCTGCAGAATTCCTGGTTTCTCCAAGTAACGCCAAGCTAAAGGCACATACGACATGCCTATAAGAGGGAACAACCTTATCGGAAGATCTTGGATGGGCCTCAACAGCTGCACAACTTCGTTGAACACTTGGCTGTCCTGCTGGACAGTCTCCAGGAGTAAAGTCTTTCGCAGGAGATCTTCCAGGTATTGACGGTTTGTTTTGTAGTCTTTCAAGTTGAGGGATGATTCCTTCACATTAGCTGTCAAATTCTGGATGATCCCCTTCATGAGATCACTGACACCTTCCACGAATATATCTGTGATGTTCCTCATTGGTGGCTCGTCGAGGTGAAGCTTGTCCAAAAAGGACGGCGTCAACCGTTCGATGGGTACATGAATCAATATACAATAGACCCTTATGACTTCGTAGAATACAAATGGTCTGGCTCGAACTTTCTTGATATTTAACATATTCTTCAGAACCCTAGACAGTAAATCTTTATTGGTTTCGATCGAGGTTGCCGTGGAATTCGTCATTTCATTCATAATACTATCTTCTAGCACTGCAGAACTGTTCAATACTGTGCGGTTACCGTGGGCAGGATTTTGATTTATGATGCCATCGATGATAGCTTTGATCTCATTGTTTTGAATAAAAATAGTTAATATGGTACTGATGTTCTCGAGAAGGAGGGTTATGTTAGGATTGGCCACTGATTTGTTCAGAGTTTCTAACCAAGCGGACAAGGATATCTTGGCTGGTTCTTCTGGGCAAGATGCTTTCACGCTGTGCAACTGAGTGAAGAGGGATGAGTGGAAGGAGTTGGCTATCTTGTCGAAGATCTTACTAAAACATTTGGGGCCATGGATGCATTGTCTATCAGCGTAGAATGTTGGATTCTCAGTCAGGTGTGAAGACGTTAGAAAATCACAGATACAATCTTGTGCAATGCTTCTTTTAGACCTTGTCTCATTTTGTTCATTAATGCTCATCGCTACGGAGGTTTTCTCGATTGACTCATTGAGGGCGGTTACTATTTTCGAGACTGTGCTCCATGTTTCGTTATTCATGGGCACTCGATCCTGAATTCTCCTCGTAAATGCGAAGACTAAGTCTCTCGGGGTGGGATAAAAGTACCGGACGAAACCTTTAAGCGCATAAGAGAGGCTCAAGCTGTGATCATTAATCATCTGCTTAAAAGTTTGCACCTCTGGGATCTTCGCTTCCTCCTCGAGAACGTTCAGTAAGAGAGGAATATTTAATTCAGATTTACCGAAGTAGGGATCCATGAGCCTCGAGCGATGAGATTTTGATACTTTTTGCAACTGATTGTGGAGTCTTCCTGCAATTTCCTTGACGATTGGATCAATCTGCGAACGATTGGCGATGGCTTTCATCATCATTTGAACTAATGCGTAGGGACATTTGACGTTGACAGCACCAATGAGACTCGGCGACCAATCTGGAATTTTACTGTCCCGTAAAACATCCGTCAAAAAGCGAAAGTCCTCTCTGTCCCCAGGTGACAATTGACTGAATCTCATATTGAGCATCAGCGAAGCGAGTACTGGCTGAGTCAGAATAATTTTACTCTCTTGAATCGCGGAGATGAAGTTTGTGAATTCCTTCCCCATTTCGGAGTGACTTGATTTTTCGTACGATTGTTTGGTGTCTTTCAAATTGAGGTATGGAATCATCTGAAGGCCGATATCTGCGAACACGTCGATCCCCTTATCACTCGTTTCAGCGATGATGGTCTTCAGAGCGGTTCTGTGTTTGGTGAATGTTCGGACGATTTCATCAATCGCAGATTTACAGAATGCGGGCAGCACATTCTGGAGGGTCTTGAATAGATCGATGACTTGACTGACTGGATTACCCTTGGCGATGCTCCTCAGACGTGGGAGAATATCCATCGTTCTGATGTTGTTCTTAAGGATTTCCTCGTAGACGATTTTCAGGCTTGTGTACGTGTCCTCCGGAAAGACATCATCATTAGGCTGGTGCAACAGGTATCCTAACAGCCCGAGAATATTGTCTCTGATTGTTACGGCAACCCATGAACGCATTACCATTAAATTATTCTCAGGTTTTGGGTGCTTGTGTGCAAAGTGACAGGTGGACTCGTTGATGTCTAGGGCTTGACAGCTCGATAATTCAAAGATGGGATTCACCTCGTCGGTGGATACGTGAACATATCCGCTGTGGCCGAGGTTGCTGTCCCCTTGCAGACCAAAGAAAGCCGTGCCCGTCGGCAAGACCTCATCAGACAACACCTGAAAAAATTTGTTAATAAAACGATTATGTAATTTAGAAAGAAGCGGTTTGGGAATATAGCCTGAGTGCAGGAAATCGTTACAAATATGTCGCGCATGCGCTATGTGAAGACCCCAGCTGCCAGAACTCAATCCCTTCTCGAGAAAGAGTTAGAATAATCTCCAACATTTCCCCGTAAGCATTATGGCAGCTAGATTCGCGGTGGATTGTGAAAAAGTTTGCAATTCACTTGAGGAATATCCAAGAACGATACGAACGAAATGGAGTAAAATTCCGAATAAAAGCTGTGCTAACAGAATTTAAACATTGTTAGGAATTGCGTAATAGGAAATAGTTAGCTCATTCTGTGGAATTTCGCTAACGGGTTGCAAATAACGAAGGAAACGTGAAATGAATATTCTAAACTTAATCGATAATGGGAAAAAATTCTTTCATCTGAGTCCAAAGGGAATTTATCATGAGGAGATATCATATAACAGGAGCACAAGAGAAAAATTCCTCACTTACTTTTGCCGTAAAAACTACGAACAGAATGTGAAAAGCATGCCATTGTAACTCCATATCTCCTGAAATTTGTTGCTCTCGAAACGCTTGTGTACGCACTACTGACTCTTGGTATTTCCCTCTGAAATACGAGCTATAAGTGAAACAAGAGCAATCCCTGATACTTCGTAGCGATCGTTAAAGCAGAGCCAACATTTCTTATCACGATATTTATGGGGAACTTGTAACTTGTGTACAACAAATTTCTCGTAAACGCCAATTTTACACCGTTTACGGACCAATAACAGCGATAATTTGAAATCAATATTGGAGTCGCCATTTGCTTGGTCCACGTATGCTATAAATTACGACAAATAAAAACTAATAAAACCTTATTGAATACTAGCAGAAATACTTAATATTTTATTGACAATCCTCACACAAGTTTTCATAAAAATTAATGGTCTCAAGAAATAGCTTGACACGATCTGGTGCCATTGCTTATTTTTCAACCAATCAATGGCCACACCTCGCCAATGTTTTTCGTAGCGTTTGGTCGTAAGTCCCATCGTTTCAACAGGTACCGGAGATACTCATGAATAAAGCTCCCCTTGGACTCATCATTACGAATGAGCAATATCAATATCATTTCGGATATATTTCGGACCTTAAGGAGTTGTAGACATTTCGAGAGATAAGCTCTCGTCCCCGGATTTGATGTCTTCCAGAAATACTTCGGATAGTGTTCAACCAATAATTGCTGTACCCAAGAGCTATTGGACTATTGGACCATGAAATTAAAATAATGAACAATTCGAATTGTAATTTCCATTTGTATTGGCGACAGGGCAATGCACACTCAACTCATTAAGTAAATTTATCCTAAAGAGAAAATCCCTTGCGCCCTTATGTTTCGTAAAGCTCGGGTATTGGGAGGGCTTTCATTAACCCGAGCAAATCAACAGTTCAACGACCACTCGACTCATGCATACCCTCGATTATTAAATTTCGGGGGACTCTAACGTTCTATACTCAGAGGGAGGATAATCCTCAAGTTATTTTCCGATGAGGTGTAATAAAATCTTATCAGATTTAATTTTATCCAAAGGCTGCAGCCGGCAGTGGCGCAAATGAATAGGGCTCCACTGTTTGGGTAGTACGAGGGGATCATTGTCCAACAGCTAACTTATAGTCAATATTTTGAATATGTAAAAAGAGTTGTTTACTAACTGTGAAAATACAGTCGGGAAGACAGTAAATTTAAAGAGAGAAATTGCATTCATTAGTGCTTTCATTTTTCTGAATATCATTATCCGAATATTAATTAGGGAAACGTATCGGTTTATGGCTGAATACTCGTAATAAATTTGGAATTAACTAGCTCGTAACAATTTTTCGCATTTTTCCTCGCGCATTGTATCGATTACATAGAACGATAATGTCCCGCGAAATCCACAAAATGACGTTATACCAGATTTTATTGATGTATTCGATCATATCTCGAATTTTTGATTGAGTCTCTGGCTCACCAGTAACGTCGATCACCATCTAAAGGTATGTAATAGTCCAGTGGTAACGAGATTCCTCCGACAATTCTTGAATTCGATAACATTGTCGTTATTCTCTCAATTTCCGCATTTTCGTCGGTTAATTTTGTTTCCAGTTTTGCCAGAAAATCGAATATTTGACCCTTCGGGAGTGTGTACCTGTTGCCTTGAATGGAAATCTGATTAACCTCATCATTACCAGCTTCAACGTTCTGTAGTGTCGGCCCTAATTAGTGGATTGACTACTCGAACTGCTGTCGGACGAATAACACCGACTCGAAAAAGAAAAATAAACTGGTTACCATTATATAAATTACCTCGTAATCATCGCTGCCTGATGATTCCAGATCATTCAAATTGAAGCGCAGAAGTTTCTTAAACTTCCACAAAACTACGTCACCCTCGCAAAGCTTATGAACTAAATTAACAAGGAAGGTGCAAGGATCTCTGCTCTTTGAATTGTGATCGTGAGAATTCCAATTAGGAATCCTTTAGTACTCCACTTCTTCGGTGATATACTTAACGTACCTTCGATAGAGATAGGATCTTCGTCAGGATTAGGTAAGCCCTGGAGGATGATCCCGAGCAATAATTGGGGAAGTTCTGCTCTCGGAGAGATATGTTGGAATGATTTTACGTACATTTTGCCCATTAGTTCTTCAACAACTTCTCAGCTTTCATCATGCAGCGATTTATCTTCGGAGTATTGAACGTGCGATTTTTTAAACACAGCCAGCGATTCCGGTCAAGAGATCTGTCTTCAACAGATACGAGGTGATTCAGGTCATCATCATCATCGTCTTTTGTAAAAGTCATCTGTTTCATTCGATACCGGATGATCGATGCGGTGGTGTATCAGTTCATTCAATACCCTGGCAAATTGTATCGATTTACCCTTCCCCTTCATTTTCTGTAATACCCGGAGTAAGTTGTATAGGTGCGATGGCTTTTGTCGCACGGCATTGTTAATCATCTCGAGTGACGCGTATTGATGCTTTGTTAATCGCTCACGGGGTAATTGAAGGAGATAGACCATAACGGTTATTGCATCCTCACGGAGTTTGATTACTGCCTCAAACTTTTCTAGTACATCATCCCAAGCTGCTGTAACTAGTGTGACTATTGCAGGTTTGACTGTTGTTGCTGTTGAAGTTCTGGTTGAAGGGTTGGTCAGAAACTCTAGCGTAACGTGACGCTGATGTCTGCGTTGATAACAATTGCCAAAAGACAGAATTGTTGTGATTTTTATTAAAGATGCTATCGATCTACAATTATTACTCGCTTCGTTCGTCTGTATCAGAAAAATTAGATGGGGTGTAATTTTTCAATTCTCCATTGCCAAATGCTGTAAAGAATTTTTCTTTAACGAATATTTCGAGAACAATATACGGTTATATTTAATAATTTATGTGTATTTATCACAGTATTTCCGGGTTATCAGACTCAATGAGAAACGAAAGTAGAAAGGAAATCTACTAGTCGTTTTATCCTCACCATGTAGCTATAATTCTTCTGGCAAGATAAAATAAAAAGAGCCTAGAGTACTCACGATGATTAATGTAAAACGAATTATTAGTTTTAATGAAAGAGCCTCGTTCCTACAAAAATGTAATTTTCCTAAATGCGAAAAAATAAGAGTCGAATCCCAGAGAATCAGTCATAAAGACTGTTCACTTTCTTGCCCCATTACCCTCAGCTTTCTCTGCTTCATTGTGATATTTGAGGAGAGCATGGAAAAAGCAATCATAAAAGTCCCATAAAGGAAGATTAAAGCATATCAAAACTTCTCAGCAGTTCATACCGATTCTTTATAACACGGAAAAGCGACTCGCGACTAGATTCGTTGAGTCGATAAGTGGAAAGATGAGAACCAATCCAAAGAAAGATCATCGATGATTCGTTCTTAAAAACGAGGTACAATAGGGAATGATTTTATGATTTTAATTTCATGTGTGAAGTTATCACTATTTTATTAACTCCTGGATACCCCGGGCTCTTCCCTTCAAAAAGAAATAATTTTACGTCTTTTCTCTGTTCTTTTCGGCGCATACCTACATATATATTTCTTTTAATTTAAATTTGGAAAATTATATAATATATATAAATATAATGTATTATATTAACTACGTCCATAATTAGTGCTGCAGCGCTCAAAATGTATGACAACATATATCTATGTGATTCATATATATATTATATAGAAAGACCGATGATAAAGTGATGTAATTTCTTCAGCCAATATAAAATTTGATATTCTAGTTTTTGGTCATTATTATTAGATTATTTAAAAAACAGTGAAGTGGAAGTTTTGCGCTAGAAAACAGAAATTTGTCGAGAAATTGCGGCAAATCATCGCGTTTTGCTGCTCACATATTTACACACTCGAATGATATTTTCTTTGGTAATTATTAAACTTGGTACTCACTGATTGAATTTCGATGACTATTGATGATAATGTACTGCAATTAGCCCTTTAGTCCGCAAAGAATCGATTTGAGGCGATTGGTGTTCATGAGGCGATTTGAGGCGATTGGTGTTCATGCGGCGATTTGAGGCGATTGGTGTTCATGAGTCGATTTGAGGCAATTGGTGTTCATGAGGTGATTGGCGTTGATGAGGCGATTGGTGTTCATGAGGTGATTGGTGTTCATGAGGCGATCGGTGTTCATGAGTCGATTTGAGTCGATTTGAGTCGATTTCGATGCGCTTATGCAAAAAAAATTAAATCCATCCACCACTACCGCCCATCTTAAACCCACAAATATTCAAATAAATTATTGAAAATGTTTTTTATATCAAAAGATAACATCCATATATATCCATAGTAAATAACGAATTCAATAAATTATCATGTGATCGTTGTATTAAAGTCCAATTATTAACGATTAAAATTAGTTTTCGATTATTGCATTGGGATTATTACAAGTCGATGTACCCTCTTGTTTCAGGATATGGTAGCATAGCACCTCGTTCAACCTGGGGAAAAGTAGCAACTATGGGGTATGCGACACTTGGAATACCTCTGACTCTCGTATACCTGTCGAGTGCAGGTGGACTATTATCTCGTTGTGCTCGTGGTGTATTCACACGTGCATTGTGCTGCTGTCTCTGTTCAAACTGCGGCTATTGTTGCTATGACGAAAGGCGGATGCAGGTAAAATGAACATTACCTAACAAAAAGTTTTATGATTTTACTGTGCCACACAGAGAGACATTCGTTAAAATAATTCCAGTGGTATTTATGACTAAAACGGTTGTGTCAGACGATAATATAATGATGAAAGGGTGAGGATCTGTAAGAATTCTTCATCAGAATTTCTATTCGAATGTTACATGTTTCTCGTGGAGCTGACATACTGCAATTGCGTCGCCATCTTTGAAATTCAGATGAACAATTACGGGTAGCTCGGCATCGTTCTATCCTCATGGAAAATGGCAACCCTCATAATCGTTTAAACTCCTCTCCACTCTCATGAATTCACCCGTAGTTTCGGAATTAAACTGCTAGAACTCGAATTAAACATGGAACATTTATTTGTAAAAACTGTTTTTTCTAGGAGAAAGAGAGACGAATGCGGAGGAAGAGACAGCAGGAGGAGATGAATCAACAGCAGCAGCAACAGCTTGCACTGCAGGAGCCATTTTACGTACGAGCCAATGCCTCGACGTATCCGAGTTCCGTTGAAATAAAGGCCAGCCCAAAGGACGAAGTGTCGAGTCTTGGGTCCGGAGATAGACCAAATGTTACTATTCTCGCGCCAATTAGCATTTGTCTGGGTGCTATGCTGTGTTATATAGTAGCCGGTGCTTTTACACTATACAAACTCGAGGGTTGGAACTTCATAGGTAAATTAGTACACTGAATTAATTTGCATGAGTTCCCCCGACGTAACCATCATCATTCGATAAAACTAAAAAAATAAAAAAATTATTTCGCTAATGGGGCATGAAGGATATCTGATATTTTCCACTCAATTTTCCATTCCAAGATTTTATTAGAATTTATTATGAGCGCGTACTAGAATTGTGAAGAGACTGACTAATATATATGCGTGAAGATGATGCACCGTGAGAAATATAATTTTTATTGGATTTCTCTCACCGTGTGATAAATGAAAAAATGCTGGACATGTTTCAGATGCGAGTTACTTCTGCTTCATGAGTCTGAGCACCATAGGGTTCGGTGACATGGTACCAGGCTCCTACCCCCAGAACAACTTCACAGATTCCACAAATATAACAATCTGGTTTTGCTCGTGCTACATAATGTCAGGCATGGCACTGACAGCAATGTGCTTCAACATTCTTCACGACGAAATTGTCCATCGTCTAGCTCATCAGAGTGAGAAACACGACTCAGTTAAGCCAAGTGTTAGCGTTGACGAGCTTTCAGGCGATCCGTTTGCCCTGACATCGTGACAATTTCCATCCAGTAATTTGTGCCACAGAAATGTTACGGAAGAGACACTGTGTGGTGAACCACCAGTGAGTATTTTTGCCCATGAGAATGAAATGAATATACTGAAAGATAGTTATAATCAAGTTGATGTCACGAGGGATTGTAAACCCATCATCAAGCTTGAAGATCATCTGGTCGGACCGATGTCAGCGGTTTATACACTACCTGAGGTGGATGAGGAGGCTGAAGAGAACACGGAAATGTGAATCGCTCCCAGTGGACACTGATGGGACATCGTGTGGACCCAACCAACTTGCCAGGAAAAAGTTTAAGCGCAGCGAGACTCATGTATAACGTACACGAAACTTTGCGATTGAGCCATTGGGTCCTGTATACACCCGGACGATATATCGAAAGAATCTTGCGCCCCTAGGGAGCCCCAAGTTTTCTAATATGTCGACTGAAAGCCAGCTCATGACACTTGACAGGCATACCACTGCCAAATGTTGGAAAATTAAACATCAAATCAATATTTCTACTTGCTTGTCTAGATAGGTACATTCACAATTGTTTTTGTACTTCTGTGTAACTGTCTCGTCAGAAAGTTCACGTTATTGTCTGTAATATAATGAAAACGTAAGATTTTTTCGGAAAAGGGAATGGAGTCGTTGATTTCGACTCCTTCATTTGTTGTCCTTGTCATGTTGACTGAAGATCGGAGAGAATTTATGCTCAAGAACAATAACTAAGAGTAATTTTACGACTTAAATATAGAGAGACTAAGAATGTTGCGTTTAGAAGGACTATCCGAGATGTTTTAACATTAATATTCAATTCAGAGATATGAAAGGGAATACTGAATAGACGTAGGGATGGGAGAATCCACGGTGAAGACGCTCCTCGCACATTTGTCACTGGTCGTCAGACTTTTCGGGATGAATTATTGACAACGGCGTGCAAAGGTCGCCTTAATGAGGTTTCCATTGCTATGGAACATGAATAATACATAGAGGTAGATGAATCATTCTTTCGTTTTTAACATATCATAAAATAAGTTGAGGAGGCAATCCGAGCGCTATTATCATTCCATTCTGAACAATATGATGGAGTTGCTCTCATCAATTCAAGGGCATGCTCGAACAATCATTCAGTAGGTAATTATTGTTTTGGAAATACAATCCCAAGAATGGAAAATTAATTTGTCAATCGTAACGGAGAAATCGCCGAGTCTACGGGGGCGCTGAAAATATCTAGCACGCACTTCATTAAAGTTCTATAACGATTCCCGATGAGAATTCAAGTGCCTCCCTTACCAACGATGTCGTTTTTCTTTCCACCGTCTTCTCTATCTTCATTCATTTGTTCATTCGATTTCTCTCTCTCTATTTCTCATTCTGTGAGACTCAAACCTCCATCCAAACTCTCTAGGGAAATATCATGGAATCGCGCGACTGGGACATTACCAACCACACGATACTATACCACTCATTTTATTCTAAGAGGAGGAAAAAAAATTCTATGAAAGTTAAATGCCTTGGGAGATATTTCTCTTATGCTGTGCAGCCAATCGGCATCAATTCATGTTTTAATGATGTATTTTTTAGAATTAGATTGATGATTGCCTTATCACTAAATCATTCTGGATTCTCCAATATTTTTTTCTCACATCCATGACTTTGGGATCTCCCATTTTTTAATTCAATCAAATTTAATTGAATCGGAAAAATTAAAAAAGATATTTGAAAGACTTAATTTTTAGATGAGTCATTGAAAAAATCATTCATGCTATTGACAAGGGACGATTCCAATAGATTATTCCTATGACAATTTGGAAACTTTAATTTGCAGATCCATACAACAATAAAAATTATTGGGAACCATAAAAAATCAGATCACTATAATTTTGAGTGCTCTGTGTACTGAAAATTTAATGGAGTGATGCCAGTTTTACAACGATTTTGGAAATCGATACGTCATTGACATATTATAGTAATCACTTTATATATAATAAATGATTTCCACATTAAATTATCGTTCGAAAATAATTGTGATAGCGTCAACCAGTTGACGAACTTTATTTAACTCGTTTTGATAGTTGATTATGCATCTACTCATGAAGTATCTAATTAGGGAACGCAAAGAAAAAACGATCTTCCTACAAGTCTTCTATTAGACGTTAAAAAACACACCATCCTCTTTCAATTAGCATGTTGATTATTTAATAAACGACCCGACATTGCGTGTAATCAATGATTAAGAGTATTTTTATTGCATCGTTAAGGCCACACGGAACCATTGGACATTGGCGGATCATACATATTCAATTCGCAATATAACGTCACTTCAAATCAAGGCGAATAACGATTTCACATTGAGTTTAACGGAGGTCAGTGGGAATGCTATTAAATCGAGTACTCGCGAAAGGCAGATGAAGATAAATTCCAAAACTGAAAAGATGATATTTCTCTAAGTAGTAGCATATAATTTAAATAAATGTTTTCTTGTACATAATACAGAGGCACTTTGTATACAAGTAATAAGTTTACTACTCATTTCATGTACTCAATTAATGTACATAGAATGTATAACACGTCCTGGTAGTGGTATGTAATATCGTTGATGAAAAAAAAAGTGAAGAGAAAAATTTTATGAATTATGACCACTGCATCGTCTTCGTACTAACAAGTCTCTAGGTAAAAAGTGAATATTAAAAAATAAACAATTGTGACGAGGAAAGTCTGTGGTCTCTGAAAAATCTACTGTACAATTTCTCCCCCAGAAGAAAAATGTAAATATAACTTGAGGGATTCACTAAATACGGTCACTGTAAAATATTCATCACTAAAACGCGACACTGAGTATAATCGTCTGTATAATCAATGGTCACGCAATGTATCCTATAATGCGAAATAAAAGTATTGTCAAAAAAATAAAAAAAACCTGCTGATATATTCTCCTATCGAATCCTTCTTGGATTGGCGTATAGCCAATAGATCATGGAATCAGTGACAGAATCGCAATCTGGGATTGAACGAAAGGTACATAATGCCGATACTAGAGAATACCGATGAGTAAGCGAACAGCCGAGGTAAAATGAAATCCAAATGGGAACGTAAATCGCCTCATGAGGGACTACAATAACGGAGAGTACCTCAGCTGCACTGTACATCATCAATCATGGATAAATGTACGGAGATAAATTAAAGGTACGTGAAAAGTGCAATATGAATAAATTTTTAGCAGAACTAGGGATCGATATTTTCATGTCGGTAACATGGGCGAATAACGACTCTTGATATATAAGGACTTATACATAACTTTGATGAAGTAGATAGGATTTTCATCAACGGCTGGTACATGAAACTGCTTTCATACGATCGGTTAGTGAATTCAAACATTAATTACTCCCACAAATTACCTAATTTTCTAACATAAATGATGTCAGGGAAAGGTTTATCGGTTATATTATTTGTCGAGGATATTGATAAAAATTTTCAATTAATGGTATCACTTGAGGAATTTGGATAAATTTAATGGGAGAAGCCGTGCAGGGGGGGGGGGGTGAACTTCCTTGAATTCAAAATACTGAAAATGATTTAATTGAAATCATACTAGGACTCGGCATTACCCTTGGTGGATGGTTGGTGGTTAGTCAAGGTATCAAATAAATTTGATCAACGGTTGATGTCGTTGTTTTACCGTTTTGGGATAATCATGAATAACTTGACAGCAATATTTTATATTAAAAAAATATTTTATGAATAGAATATTCACACCGTGAATATTTCTCATTACGTCACATCGTCAGCAAATATGATGACAATTTCTCACAAGGAAAGGCTCATCTAACTACTACGATATAATAAGTTATAATCAGTACATCACTGTGGTAACGTTATAGCATTTTGAAACAGAATAATTCAATATTCTTGGATATTACGTAACTATTACCATGACGAATTCACAACACACAAAAAAGGCTATAAAAATTACGTAATTTCTAGGTAGACAGGAAGATACTGTGTTACTTTGGAATATTAGCATGGCCACGAAAGTGTTAATATCCTAGATTGACTTCTAATCAGTCCGTAGATCCGGCCGGGATGCAAGATTAACTTGATATAGATAGACTTGGAGCAGAATCGCCGTATCAACTATAACCTGTAGAACTCCACAAATACTGAATTGAATGGGTGCTTCTCTTTGGACAAAATAGCAAGTCTTGAATGTATCACCAACAGTCCACATTGTCACCATAGCTATGCTACAATGGATAAAATAAGTATAAAAATTTTCACATCACATGCCCTGATCATTCACCAAACCGTACATTACCTCATTCCTTCAGTTGATTTATTATGAAGATTACGTAAAAATTGAGGTACACCCAACATTGCTTCGGTTAGTACAGCAAGCAGGCCTACACTCTCCACAAATATCGGATAATCGGCGAATAAATACATGAGAAATCCACCAGCTACTCCAAACAGGAGTATGAAATCCAAATACGACTGGAAGTCTGTCCATTTCCAAAAGTATTTAATGTCCAAATCTACATGAATTATTGTTAAATGGAGACTACAGTAAATATAAAACAAGAATTTGTTATGGATTATTGATATAAATGATACGATGATGATGTTGTTAGTCACAACATGTCTTCACTTACCTGTGAATGTCCGCTCCTTAGCTTTGATGATTTGGTTTTTATTTCGAACGGTTATGCAGAGCCTTATCATCACAAGCATTGTTATGTTCATCAGAATACTTTGTAGCAGGAGAGGCAGCTCAAAACGTTTTCCAAACCTGTTGAAAACATTAGCCAATATAAATTAACATTCATTAAATGTTGTCAATAGGACTACGGTACCAATGAAAAACAAATAGTTTAAATCGCGATATTTATTCAATTCATCAGAATTGAAATTTCCATTCATCTTCTTACTGAGAAATAGCTTCTGATGTGCGTCAGTTTCTTACGATTTTCTACGGATTTCTAAAATTTTTCAATCATGTTTGAAAATTATTGATGTCTACTTATTATTAGATTAAATTTTATACCAATAAATTATCCTCAAAGTATTAGCGATGAGCAAAGCCAGACAGACATAAAGTGAAAATCCTTCAGCATCATCTTTCCTCCTGATTTCCCTGTACTGTGGAATATATGGCACAACACCACCAAATATCATGGCCCCCGATGCAATAAATCCGAGGGCCTTACTAAGAGTAAACTCTGGCTCTGCCATTTTGTTTAATAAATTCAATAATGCCCACTTTGTCGTTCAACTGTCAGGACATAACTGACAAGGACTGAGTGACTAGGATTGTTGTCAGTTTCAGGTTAGGGTATGGCACACTGAGTTGACATTACCGTAATCAGTATGATTCCATTTATTTAACGTTGTCATACATGTTACTGATTCAATGATGACGAATGATCTCATTCGTAGATACCACAGGGACACGATAGACTAGACAAGAAAAAAATACTCTGCATTGTTTATCTACCGGCCTAACTGTCTAATCACAACGTCCATTTCCTAATTACAATAATTGAATTAGTGGAAATGCACCACATCGAAGGAACGCAGGGGACTCACTAGTCACTAATGTCGGACATTGCAAGCAATTACATGAATGACACACACATTTGGGAAGTAATGTGTATGTATTATTCATGCGTACAAATTACATTTACCAACTGAGTTAACTGCGCCAGTGAAACTGTTTAGCTGGAGCTTGCAGCATTGTCCGCACATCTCATAGTAAAAGAATCGATACCAAGGAGGATTGACTAAAGTGGAGGCTCAGTTCAGGGGTTTTGAAAGACCCCAGAGGCATTGTAGTACCTCACCCCCCGAGAGAGAGGGCGTTACATTTTTGTGATACATAATACGTGATACATTTTTGAAAATTTCGAATTTTTCCATTCCCGTGAATACCTCCACGATTTTCATGATCCCCTGGGACTTTTCCAAAAATTTCGAAATTTCACATTTCAGTGAATACCTCCGCTATTTTCATGCTCCCCTGATACTTTTTCAAAAATTTTGAATTTTCAAATGTCCGTGAATACCTCCTCAATTTTCATGGTCCCCTAATACTTTTTTAAAAATTTTGAATTTTTCAATTTCAGTGAATACCTCCTCCATTTTCATGTTCCCCTGATAATTTTTCGAAAATTTTGAATTTTTCAATTTCAGTGAATACCTCCTCGATTTTCATGCTCACCTGATACTTTTATAAAAATTTTGAATTTTCAAATTTCAGTGAATACCTCCTCGCTCTTCATGCTCCCCTGATACTTTTTTGAAAATGTCGAATTTTTCAATTTCAGTGAATACGAATTTTGTAACAAAAAAAATAAAATACATACGGTCAACCGCTCCCTCCGACAGCGGAACCGTTACTGAGGCAGTTACCGAGGCGGCTGACAGGCAGACACCCCACCATTGCGTGTCGCCCCCTCCTACTCTTGGGGTCGGTTTGACAATGTTGGTGGGGATACTCAAACCCCCACTGAGCGGCCCAATGCACGGTTCAGTTCTGGGGGTTTGAGTGACCCCCAGTGGGCCGCTCAGTGGGGGTTTGAGTGACCCAACCGGCATTGTAGAACCTCACCCCAAGAGAAGGAGGGGGCGAGAAGTAATGGTGGGGTGTCTGCCCGTTAGCCGACTCGGTAACTGCCTCAGTAACTGTTCCGCTGTCGAAGGGACCCGTTGACCGGGTGTATTTTATTTTTTTTTGTTACGAAATTGGTATTCACTGAAATTGAAAAATTCGACATTTTCAAAAAAGTATCAGGGGAGCATGAAGAGCGAAGAGGTATTCACTGAGATTTGAAAATTCAAAATTTTTATAAAAGTATCAGGGGAGCATGAAAATCGAGGAGGTATTCACTGAAATTGAAAAATTCGAAACTGTCAAAAAAGTATCAGGGGAGCTGATACTTTTATGAAAATTTTGAATTTTCACATTTCAGTGAATACCTCCTCGATTTTCATGTTCCCCTGATACTTTTTTGAAAATTTTCCAATTTCAGTGAATGCCTCCTCGATTTTTATGTTCCCCTGATACGTTTTTGAAAATTTTCCAATTTCAATGAATACCTCCTCGATTTTTATGTTCCCCTGATACGTTTTTGAAAATTTTCCAATTTCAATGAATACCTCCTCGATTTTCATGCATTGAATTTTTCACCCCCATTGCGTGTGGCGCCCTCCCTCTCTTGGGGTGCAGTACTACGATGCCGCTGAGGTCACTTAAGCCCCCAGAACTGAGCCTCTACTTTAGTGAATCCTCTTTGGATACACCGACATATTTACAGCGATTATCAAAGCCTAGGTCAAGTTTCACGTCATGATTTTCACGTAGCGTAGAGAAATCGTTCGAGGTTAGGAATCTAGTTCTGACTGGGGTAGAGTCGGGTAGGTAGGAGCAGTTGATTATTTTGCATTTCATTGTTTAATGTTCGAAATGCGGCGAAGTAATGTAGATAATAAATGTTTGTTGATGTTTATATTTCAGAAAATGGCGACAGTCAGAGCTCTGAACCACATTCTACGGCGAAAACCTTTTGTAGTACCTAGTGTACCACTATCACCAACATCATCATGCTGCTTCACCACTGGCAAAATGTGTAGATCATCATCTCAAAAATCCGTATCAAAAATTGACGAGAGCAATACTGGTGGACAAGTGTCCACCACTTTTGCGGAAGTAGGTAATTTTTTATACTGATTGTAAACACGAGTTCCGCGGTCAATTCAGCCTGTGCCGGGTTTTAATCCTTCGTGTGAATCTACGAAACATTTACCGATTCTTTTGATAAATAAATTAATCGTTATTACTTACTTCATCCTCAGTAATCGCATATTGACTAGTTATTTATTAATCTAGAATTTTTGTCTTCATACTTCCTGAAGATTGTTAACTACTAATGATTTTTTCATTTATCACAGTCAAGGAGAACACAAAGTCTGCTTGGTACGTTAGCGTGATAATCGCAGGGGTCGGTGTAACTGCCGTCATGTTCTACGCAATCTTCAGAGAATTGTTCTCAGGCAAGAGTCCCAACAGTGTGTATTCGAAGGCCCTTGACAGGATAATGAAGGACCCAAAGGTGCTCGATGCCCTGGGGGAGCCCATCAAGGCTTTCGGAGAGGAGAATCGTCGGGGTAGACGTCGACACGTGAACCACGCTGTTTATGTGCATAACAACAAGCAATACATGAGGATGCAATTCTACGTACAGGGATTGCGAAAGCGGGGCACTGTCCACCTGGAAGTGCGCGAAGTGAGAAATTCATTTTCCGTGAAATAACGTGAAATTCTACAATTCTAGTAATTTAATTCAATATTTTTTCAGGACGATGCAGGAGACTTCGTGTACCGCTATCTATTTATTGAGTTGGAGGACATGTTGCGCACTGTCATCGTCGTAGAGGACAATCGAGCAGCCGAAATGCAGACAAATAAAATCGAGGATGTAGCTCCATTCGCCTTTCCTTTGAATTAATGAATCATTTCAGCATTGTAGATTTACTATTCTCATGTCTGGTCTGAAGCGCATAAAATCTTCATAAGACACGGCAGATTATTTTCCAAGAATAAATTTTTACATATTGAAACCCATGACGTGCTGTTCTCAATTCACAACATGTCATTTTTTCACCTCAACAATTCATCTTAACTTTAATAATTCGTAGCGCCACGAAGGCGTATTGCCAGGGCGTTACCAACTTATGAAATACTGAAATACTATGTAGACAGTTTGACCTCCGTGACAAAGAAGCAATTAGTCATAGCGTGAAAGAACAATGAGCATTAGCCACCGTTCATCTCCCTATAATAGACATCCCAGAACTCTAACATTTCGAATAGGTCAAGGAGGCTTCAATCACTGAAACCCGGTCTAAGGGATATTTCGGAAGTTTTTTGAAAATCAATTAAAACTTTCGACACAATTTTCATAATTTCTCCGTAATTACCACAAAAAAGTCTAACTCGATCCTTAAACTCTGACAGCTCTTAAATATCTTCATATCACCTCGACTTGTAACCCAGCTAAATAGGGGGAATTGATCTTGATTGTTATTCAATAAAGTGAACCTCAAATCGGATAAAATCTTTACTCATAGAAAAACTGACGTCGGGTCCTTGGAGTGGAATGTAATCTGTTGGTTCAATCAACGCCCTAGAAACAGACACACCCTCGGTAGTCATCAAATGTCCGTCAAACGAAATCTTTTCTTAGATTGAATACCGTCAAATGGACTATGACTACGAATGAGAGGATTCTAAAAGTAGAAGTATATCGATGTACATGGTTCAATGAATTACTCATAGACATTCGTGATTCAAACAACTCGTCATACACCGATAGAATAATATCAATATAGTTATGCGCATAATAACGAAATATCAATATCAACGAATCATAGATTCACCCGTGGATTTGCACTGGGATATTGCAATTATTTTATATGAGTCTACAGTCTACGTATGACTTTTAAACTAAACTGAATAAAAATGACACCTTTATCTTCAATTACACCGACTATTTTATCTTTCTAATTCATTAAGTAGAGCGTTTTAGTTTGCCTTCAACAAATTTCCCCTCACTTCCGGTGACTTAATAGATTTCGTCAGTGAAATGTCCGTGGATGATACGCACACGATTCGACAGTACCTTATCTTCTTATTATACGTCAAATAGCGAACGAGGTAGGGATGCTACATGCTGTCGATACGCCAGCAGAATGAAGCTGACAGTCATTCACTAGCCGACAAGACGTTTATAATCATTGCGCTACCGTTCTCCAAGCTCATTACCATAACAAGGCAAACACGTGTGGTTTGCCGCATTCGTAGGAAAGCTATCCTTCACTGGTGGAAAATCACATTGCATCGAGTTCACTCCCTCCTGATCCCATCCCATCAATGACAGCGGAATGGCTCTCGTGACGAAGTGAAGTGACCGATAAATATTCGCTGGTGATCCGTTAAAAATTCACGATATGGGAAATTGCTGGTCATGCTCGAGATTCAGGGCCATCTTTCGACCTGTCACCGATGGCACGCCGATGAAGGAAGTCTGTACGAGGCCAGAGTGCCTGCCAAAGCCACCGACATCATCGCTAAATGGTTTGTTAATTTATTATCATCACCGGGAGTTACTTAGTAATGTGCAGTGGGCGCTAAACAATTATTTGTAGAGAAAAGGCACATGTTTCACCCGGTGTCGTGTAAATTTATTCAACGGAATGCCCCAAGTCAGGTTCAAGCGCTTGGAATTCACGGCATGAATGCCTCTGGGCTTTATCTCTTGCCGTACTTGACCTTGCTCATTAAACGGGGTTAATAAGGCTATGCATTCGGGGGGAAGACATATGGTCTAACGTTGAATTAACTTCATTCAGGAATTTTCACGGTTAATTACACCGCCTCGCGTTTTACGAGGGACGCTAACTAGGCGCATAGTGAACTCATGTTTATTATAATAATGGAAAGGTAATCACGAGAGGACGGACTATCGGATGATTACTCTTGCAGAGCATTTGAATAGCTCATCACAGCTGATCACGGACACCAGCTATTTTATTTCCTGATGGTTTATGGCAATGACATCATTCTCATGACACCACTTTGAACGTTAGACAAGATGTGACTCTTCTTTATTAGTCGCGAGTGCGGGTGTTTCGTCCAGATTTTCTCTCATTTCGAAAATCAACGTCGCGTGGGAAATTACATGGTGCGCACCGAAAAAAGGATCGAAACCGCTTTACCTTGACCAGATTGCCGAGAATAGATCGAGTTATGCTTACACAAGAAACGTTTATCGACTGGAGCCTTATTTCAGAGTGCTCTTTGCCATGTGGTCTCTATTATAATGTTTCGGGGGCGAATAAATGCAAATTTATCATTAAATTTCAATAAACATGATTATTTCTCAATCATTAATAAAATTCCACGAAATGCGGACTAAAAATCTGAAAGTCCAGGGATTTCCTTGTAAACTTTCAATAGTGGTTTCAGTTTTTAACTGAATATTTGCGTGGGTCATATTGACAAACTGGCATTTAAAGATTCCTCATCTCCATCAGTATCTCCTTGAAGTTAAATGTCAGAATATTGAATGTGGTCCACTGCATTACCGAAGACTATTATTGTTGGCCTCCCATCAACAACTAAAACCGTAGGAAACTGGGATTAGCTAGCCGTAGTTGGATCGTCTGCCCATCATTTCCCCACATGAATGAATAATGCCTGCAGGGCCTGCGGTTCCACCTGGAATGAATGAAAGTCTACTTGCGCAAGACTTATCCTATTAGGCACCTAATTGCATCATTCATCTTGCATTATATCGCCTCAACACCAACCCACGAAAAATGGACAAATCCGCTCCTACCAGAATCACGGTGAGATTTTGAAAAAGATTATTTTCAGAAAATGTCATAAAGATAACGATTCCAAACACTCGATCGCGATCATGAAAGGCGCCGCAACGTGTGTCTAGCACTTATCCCACGCATTTAGTAATAAAAACCAGGAATTCCTTTCACAAAATGATCAATTTCAATGTACGCCTTGATTCTTACGATAAAATATATAATGCACTGTTTATAATCAATGATTTGAAGGAAACTGTAATAAGTGAGAGCGCGAATCGACTTAAGAACAACGGAAATAGTACGGCACGATGAAATCAGCAGGAAAACTGACCTTCGCTGTCTCACATCCACCGAATCTGTTTGACTCTTATGTAAATTTATTCAGACACCACGAACACCGTTTCGATCACTTTATTTATAATCCGGAAACTAGAAACAATTGCTCTTATTCTGGCACGTGTCTGGATATCGTCTAACGTCATCGAAGGAATAAAAAGGGTTCTCTTAACTTTTTCTAATTTTTCATGAACTTTTTTCCGTGCAGTAAATCCACAGACGATGAAATTGACTCATCCTATCACCTCTCAGATTAAATTACTCCAACTACTAATTCATCTTCGTTGAGAAGTCACGAGCCGACATAGTTATAATTCAATTAATACGTCTATGAATTCTCAAACGACTGCCATCCACTTTGAACTGGCATATGTGTGAGATTAGGGACGAGAGAAATGTGGATATATCAGCAGTAAGTTGGACCCAGGTGTTACATCGACTAGCAGTTACCATTGATGTGATAATAATTATGTATGTAATGGACCGTTGATGATACTCCATGTGCATTTGCTATTGCAGAAAGAGCTATAGAATAAATGGTCCAAGTAGGAATTAATGATGGGTACACGATTTGCAGAACTTAAACCACAATTGAAAATTGTAATGCTGAGTAATAATACCGCATATGGGGCCTGATCAGGCCACCTTGAGCCTTGAAATGACAATTTCATTTCAGGTCTAGGCGCCAAGACTTCAACAAGTTGAGGGGAGAAGAGAAAATAATTTTTAATAGGATATTATTTTATCATTTGCGTTACAAAATACACAGTCCTGTTGTCGACGTTAGCCTTCCATATTGCTACCTAGGGTACTTAGTTCATTTAAACTCGGTGCAGAGTTATTTCTCGTTGCATGATGAAGCTGTGGCGCAAGATGTTTCCGGTTGCAGCAATAGAGATGTTTTAGCACTGCAACAGGATACATATGAGTTTTATTAACGATATTATGACTCGATGTATTGATATTTAAATAGTTATAACGAGTTTTTTAAACAAACACTTGAAAATGCATGCACGAAAAAATTCTCTGACAACCTAGCATTTTCTCTGACTTGCATTAATTTACTGAGTAAGAAAAAGATTAATAGATTCATTGGTCTGTATTTTTAAATTGATATTCGTTCCCACGAACTAGAATTCACTAATTCGATAGAAAATAAAACTGTAAAAGGCAGTACATATCCTACGAGATTTAAAATGCGCACGTATTTTCATTCGATTTTAGTCAGCTTCCCATGAGACAAAGATTCTAAAGAACAACGACTTGTAAATTCTCTGGGAATCGTCTTGCTTACACACTATACATATTCCAAGAATGGTATAACAAGTCATCTCGTCCTCCATTCGGAAATGGTGAACATTAATGCCTATCGATTCCCCCGTACTCACGAATACCTCACACCTATCTCATGAAACACAGGATTGTCACATGAAACGTAAAAAAAAAATGAATTCTATAAGTGTTATTCAAGTGGGTGACAATAATGTCCACTCACTCACGCGTGTCCGGCTGCTCCCACCAATTATGGTTGTATGCAAGATATACTCTGCACGTGGAACTCGAGCCTTGAAAGCCTTCTGCATCGTTGTGCCATGATTTACCCCGACTGAACCCACGGTGTTATTTTTTTTCCAACAGGTGCATCCCACCAGGATTCTAATCCTAATGAATTCATGAGCAACTTGTGCTCATACCTTGCGGTCATTCGATTGTTCAGTTGCGATCGCGAACGCACGCGTATCTCTTGCACTTCCGTTTTGCCGTGACAATCGCCCACGTCTCCTCCTGCCCACTTTATTCGGAGAGAGAAGTTTTGGGGAAAAAAAAAATTGTTATTGGAGCGTTCGATGAAATAGAAAATATATTTTTTTCAATTTGCATTTACATCACGCGCAGCTCGTACCGACGGGATTCACTGGCAAAAGGGTTAATCAACGGTTCACGAGGATTACGAGGATGTTTTACAGATTTTACGATCGCTACCGTAACTTCAACGACCGGCGTTTTCGGCCGTTTCCATTTAGATTTCATTGTGAGTAACAGTGGGGAGAGTAGGCGGATGCAAAATAACTTACTTGAGGTTTTTTTTTGGCCTCTCGAGGCGTCTTCCACCCGTTCATTTACATTTTAAACTCACGCGGGGAATCTACTGAAAACCACCTCTGAATTTCGGCAACACGGGGCGAAAAATCTACAGTAGAATTAACCACGATATTTTTACAATAGAACATTTTTTTCTCAAATTTCCGCAAAAACATTGTAATTTATTATATTCATTCTGTTGGAAAATTACACTTAAAATTTTTTAGATTTCAAAATAAATAAGAAATGTACTCGTTCTAATGACTGACTAAAATTTCCAAATATTTGTTCCTGTCTAAAATCTTTGCTGAAAAATCCCTCGAGACTACGACTCGGTGCAATCACTAAATTCGCATAGATTAATTTTTTTTCAATTGAAAGAAATATGAAATTCGGTAATGGAATAATGAAAGAGCAATTTGCAGGGGGCGACTGGGATATTCCCATGCTGACAGTTCTTCGGGTGGACCCATGCATCGATGAGAATGGTGAGACTCATAGGACATCGAGGTATGAGTTGATGAACCGTGACGGGGTCAATGCCAGGCTGATTGTCCGAAGGGGTCAGGAGTTCTTCATGAGGCTACACCTCAATCGGGATTACGATCCGACGGTGGATGGCATCTCGATAGTCTTTACACTTGATGGTGTCAGGAAACCCAATTATGGGAATGGGACATTCATGGTGACGCCTCTTTTGAATTTTGGAGAAGTGTCCGAAGGCGCGTGGCAGGCGTCACTTGACTCTATGGAACCCAATTCCATCAGGATTAAGGTGATTCCTTCAGAGATTGACTGCCTTTCTAGAGTTTTGTTCCAATTACACAGAAAAAAGATCAATAGTCGTCAGATCAATCTCTGTATTGATTATCAAGGCCTAGAATTGTTTTCATGACATCTAGAGAAATCTGCTAATCGCAAATGAAGAAGTTATTTAATCGTACCGGATCTCATGACATTTCCTGAAAATAAGAAATTCTGTTCTCCGCCATGAGCAAACTTCCTTTCTGTGAATGTGATGACTGCGATGGTTCTATTAAATCAGATCTAATCTCTGTGATTAATTCAACAGATAATATCTCCTCCCGACGTGTTAATAGGAAAATGGAAAATGGATATTGACGCAAAGCGTAAAAATTCAGCGGGAGCAATAAGCTTCAGCGTTAACGAACCGTTCTACATAATATTTAACGCATGGTGTCCAGGTAAGTGTTCCAAAATTTTCATTTTTCCTCAACTAAAAATTTATATTCCCCCGAATTTTATGCAGATGATCCAGTATTCATGGAGGGTGAAGACGGACGACAGGAATACGTAATGGCCGACACGGGCCTAATCTGGCGAGGCAGCTACAAGCAGATGAGACCGACAGTTTGGAAATATTCGCAATTCGAAAAGGACATTTTGGATTGCGCCCTGTACCTCGTGACTGACGTGTCGAAGGTGCGTGTCGCTGGTAGAAATGATGCTGTCGTTATATCCCGGGTGCTCTCGGCCGCTGTCAATTCACCTGACGACAATGGAACCTTGATGGGAAATTGGTCCAACGATTTCGACGGAGGAACACCGCCAACAAAATGGCTGGGGTCTCAGAAGATCCTTCAGGAATACTGGAAGACGAAGAGACCTGTGAAGTACGGCCAGTGCTGGGTATTCTCTGGAGTACTAGCCACTGTTTGCAGAACCCTGGGCATTCCCTGTCGTGTGGTTACGAATTACTCTAGCGCTCATGACACGCAGGGTAGCCTCACCGTGGACTACTTCGTCGATGCCGAAGGGAGAATTATGGAGGAGTTGAACAGTGATTCGATATGGTGAGAATTTTGAAACGTGATTTTTTATTTTTTCCAACATTTCTATGCTTTTCCTGTCTCTATGAGGTGAATACGCGTAGAATCACCCGTTAGTTGCGAAAAATAGGTCATTCAAAAAATCACCTTAACCCGTTACTCAGATGATCTGATTTACGAAATTTAGGCAGGGGAGGCGAGTTTCTTAAAAAATACAAAAAAATAGATTCGGTAAATATATAGAAATAGAAGAAAGGAAATTTCTCCGTCCAAAGATCCGAGACTAAGCCGTTCGTCCTATGGTGAACAACATTTCTTTCTCTTTTATATTTTACACGGGTTTCTTAATACAATATAAGTAGCTTATCACCTGAAAGATGCAATGAAGTTGGAAATGATCCGATGAAAAGTCGCAAATTCTATCGCATCCCAGCCCTCTATGTGCGCACCCTTCTCCCGATAAAACAAAATTGCAAATGAAATAGTTCAATCATGCCCGATTCGAAGGAATTTCCATGTATGGGATGAGGTTTGGATGAAGAGATTGGATCTCGGGCCAGAGTACGCTGGATGGCAAGCCATCGATGCCACTCCACAAGAATTGAGCGAGGATGCATATAGATGTGGACCTGCGTCAGTGGCAGCTGTCAAGAGAGGTGAAATCCAAGGTCCTTATGACAATGGTTTTCTCTTCGCTGAGGTCAATGCTGACAAAGTTTTTTGGAGATACAATGGACCCACTCAGCCCCTCAAATTGATCAGAAAAGATATCTACGGGTGAGTGGTCCAATCTTATTATTTCAGATAGTTCTATAAACCAACGAGAGCTAATTCGATCATCTACCACTTAATATTTCCATAATTCACAAGTATTCCCCAAATTAAGTTCCACAATCTGTAATCGTTATTTAAATCTCTCAATTCACATTGATTCATTAAGCATTGAAGACGATGGACGGAACGTGAAAAATTCCGTCTTCCTTAAATAAATTATTCCTCATTTATTATTTAAGTTATACTCATCATTTGTCAGTAGAACTTAGTCATAGATTTGGAAATGTGAATTTTTTATGGAGCCTCACGAGCACTCGGGTAATGATAAAGGCGGTTCATTAATTCATGAGTCTTTAGTAATGAGATTTAATTTCATCTATTAATGACAATTTTATTTAATTAGCATCGGTAGACAGATCAGTACGAAAGCAGTGGGTTCGTGGACTCGGGAGGATATCACTCACATGTATAAGTACCCTGAAAGTAAGCTATTGAATTATCTGTCAATACTTCGGATTGAATAAAATATTAATATTCCAGAAAGCGATGACGAACGGGAGGCAATGCTGAAAGCCCTTCGTCAGAGTGAATCTCTCTTCAGTCGATATTACCTTAATGAGGAATTTAACGACGTTATGTTTAATTTTGAATTGCAAGATGACATTATCATCGGACAGCCATTCAGGTACCGTTTGCGTCACTTAAAAGTAAAGACTCATTGTAGCTCAATGGCTCATTGAATTCACGTCTTGTATCGTCCAATTATTTCTCAAAATTTTGTTATACTGTTCCATAGATAGGCAAAATCTAAAATTTGCATTATCATTATAATATATATATATATATATATAATATGAACACCAATTAAGAATGAAAGGAATAATTGAATTGAGCCAGAACGAATAGTAATCTACACAGAAATAATTAATAATAAATTTCCAAAGAAATTTATCGAGCTTTGACTTTTTGTACTGAAGTATTTTATACACTTCTTTTTAGTGTCATACTCCTGATAAAAAATAGGAGCAGCGAGTTCGAGTATCGAGTTTCAGTTATTCTACGGGTAGAGGTAGTAATGTATACAGGAAAAGTCGGAGGGCCAATCAAGAGGACGGAGGTGGATAGAATAGTGAAGCCCGGGGATCTGGAGGAGGTGAGATTGAATGTCTCGTGGGAGGAATATGGGTCGAGATTGCTCAATCAGTGTGCCTTCAATATCGCGTGCCTGGCTACTGTTAAAGATACAAATTTTGAGTACTTCGCACAAGATGATTTCAGGGTGGAGAAACCGACGATTGATATTGAGGTGGGTGATAGGTGATAGCAATGACTTAATATCATGATAATAATCCAACAGGTCATTTCCCGTTTTTTAAACGCCTCATTGACGTTCTCTCCATTCATTTAGCACGATTAATTAATGAAACATGTTATAGATGATAGAAAACTTTATTTACATTCGATCAAATTTCTACGCACGTTGATCGCGAGATCAATTGCGTAGAATTGCGCGGGAGAAATATAAAGGAAAAAGTACGTAATCGGTCGCGTAATTGTGGGATAAAGAATGATTTGTCATTTTTATCAAAAATCGCGATAGAAAATAAGAGACGGTTAATAAATTTTATTATTTACTCTGGGAAATTCACAGTACTGTCACGTATTTATTTTTCGAACTCGTGGAACTTTAAGAATTTTAAGTGAAAAGTATGTCAACGAACGTGAAGATTACTCCGTTTCACGTAAATTTTACGCTCACGTTTACGTTTTAAGCGGTCATTTTTACGGAACTTCTCACGTACTATTTCCAGTATTTTTTTCTCCATATACAGCGGTGAGTTTCATTAACTAAATAATTAACTGGAATCGGAAATTGAAAATCCTCAGAGGAGAACGAATGCAGTAGTTGACGAAGTCCTGGAAGCAACAGCGAGCTTTACAAATCCCCTTCCAGTATCCCTGAAAAAGGGTCAATTCCTGATAGAAGGTCCTGGACTGGAGAAGCAATTGAAGATAAAACTCTCTGGAAGTGTCCAGCCAGGAGACGAGGCCACCTGCACTTTCTCCATGATTCCAAAGCTCGAAGGAAGATCAACGATTGTCGTGAAGTTCCACTCGAAGGAGCTGGACGACGTTGATGGATTCCTCAACTTCATGGTGAAACCATCAACATACTCCAATAACGGCTACTCCATGTAAATCATGCTAAATGACTTACGTCTCAACGTACTTACGACTAAACACATTTGGCGAATGTCTCGTCTCGATATTCATCCACGCCAAAGTGAGGATTTATACCGCTTAATTCTTTCATCGTGATTAATCAAAGTATTTATGTGAAAATAACAGGAAATTCTGATGCTTACGATACAAAATGTAGAATGAAATATGTGATACGTCAAAATTCTGTTGAGTTATCTGTTCAACAATTCATAAATGTAATGGTAATAACCCAGAAAAATAAAATATTCTTTCCAGTGTATCACCAAATCTTATGCATAATTGTACGATTCGACTACTGACCAGGACACCGGTCTGATATTAACGATGGGCAACGGGAGTGAACCCGTTGAGATATATTAATATTCAATGGCCAGTGAAGAATAAAAAAACGGAATTGATAATTTGGGGAGTGGAGGCCGTCCACTCGTTGGTACGAAAATAAAATATAATCGGTAAATATTTCATGGAAGAAATGATGATGATGGGCCTCACGCTGATATGCAAGCATTGATGGCTGTACTATGCATCATCGTTCGGGAGAATTAATGTTGAAATATGCACCAACTGTGAATGATAAGGACAAGAAAAATGGGAAAAGAGAGACCGGGGGATATTGAATGCTGAGGTGGAAGGGAGAAAGAGGGAGGATGTTGTGGATGGACTATAGTCAGTGAGATATGTCTAAATACATAACCGTGACGTGTGATGGACGTGTAGCGGCCCCTGTCTACGGGGGTCTCAAGAAGCTTGTGGTTATATTGTGAGGGGTCATAAGAGCGAGACTACCACGGGGTTCTTCGACCGCGGGGCACCCTGCTATGCGCTATGCATCAACACCCGAGATCCATCCCATTATACCTCATCAAAATAACAAACACCCATGTAACCCGCTAAACCAACATTCTTTCTTGCAAGGAGATTCTCAAATTCATCAGAATTTTGAGTGACCCACGTCTAATGGATAAGCCCTCCTTTCTTCCCGCTTCTCATTATTCTTTTCATTACTTTTCATTCTGATCTATTAGCTTCTCTTAGCCTTTTTAATTCGGTTTCTTTCCAGAAATACGACGCTCACGATGTTTTGTGGTGGTACCATCATTTCCATGCACTTTCTCTACAGTTTTGTGATTCTTTTTAAAAGTTTAGAAAAAGTGTTCAAAGATGTTTACACTGCACCTTAAAACTTGGTGAGTCAATAAATAATGACAAAACGCAAAAACGTTTTAGTTTTCACGTCCACCCCATAGTAAGTTCGCTAAAAAAATGAGAACATGTTAATTTTGGCTATATATGGGTGTAAAACACCCTTAAGCCTCACGCATTTATATAGTGACGTAAAATAACAAATAATAATGAGAAAAAATGAAAAATAAATAACGAATATCGAAACAGGAGGCGACGATAACAGCGCAATTTTTGAAAATTTAGACATGGAGATGCATGTTCCCTGTGATTCTTTAAGATGGCAGCACCACCTGCTCTCGCTCGCTCCGAGCGATTCTCCACAAATCCAATAATTTAGTTTTTAATTGGGACCGACTCGATCCCACATAAATCGCATCTACGATCAGCTAAAATTTATTTATTGAACGACACTGCTGCGTTCATTCGTTAACAAATACGTTTAGAGTAAAACCACTTAATTCCAATGGTGATCAATTCCGGGTAATTGCAGCTGCCCACCGAGTTGATAATTGCAGCACGATTCTTAACTATCGAGGAATTGGAAAAAAAACGAGAGACTACCGCAAAAAAGCAAATTGAAATGAAGGAATCCACTCGTTTGGCATTACAACACCGTCTAGGATACTCTAATGAAGCCATTCCATTCCGACACCGAGGTATGGAAAAATGAAGCAAATCAAAATATATCGATAGCACGCGATCTCTAATCGATTGTCTCGCTACTGAAATTAATCGCTCGTATTTGCACTAATAATTGCCCCGTCACACCTCTATAGCGCGCCATATATTACGCGTATTATGACAAATATACGGGTGCGACATGCACGAACAACTTGCAAACAAATCTTTGAAATGCGATGGAGTGATATCGACACCATTGATCAATATTTCTTTTCAATCTGCTACAGCTCAATCATCTATTTAATTCCTCAAGAGTTAAACGTTCTTATTATGACACGAATCAATTTGTTATCACACGATAACTGAAAGGTGAATTTGTCTAATAACGAGGAGATATCAATCACCGATCAACACCTGGTAGAAGTTAAATGAATAACTCATTTCAAGAATTCAATTTTATTATTTTCTTTTATTATAGAATGAAAAAGTATACATCAAGCCTATATTCATTATAATGTTACCCATTTTAGTTATCGAATACATTTTTTACCGTGTGCCCCTATCTGTCGATTATACACGGAAAGAAATATTTAGTAAAAATTACGGAACTTTCAGTTCACTTACCGATTACGGAGTTGATTCGAAAAATTTAAGTGACGGTATCGTTATTTTTCACCGATAATTCAGATAAAAATTACGTGACAGTTCCGTAAAATTTCCGACAACCACATTTCGCTCCAGAATCACGGAAAATACACGTAATTTTTATTGAATATTTCTCTCAGTGTAGGCGCGGAAAACGTGATTATAAGGCCCAAATGCTAGTGTTTTTTAAAATTCTAGAATTGATTAAATGATTCTTTTGTGAGAGAGATAACATTTTCAATATGGCATTATAAATTTTTATTTCTTTTCAAAATTTCACAGTATACTCTTCTATGACGCAAATCGGTATGCTGTTACGTCGATAGCGCGGTAAATATATCAGATAAGAATGTGATACTCGTCAATCTTCATGTTTTCAAAAATAAGTATAGAATTGCTTTGTCGTTTCCGAAACAAGATCTGCAGCACAAGATAGAGACCGTTCCCTCGATAATCGGTGGAAAACGTTAGACCACACCGATTTTCTGAAAGCTACATTAGTGCAGATGACGGATGAAGACTAAAGACAAGACAAGAGTTTTCAGCCGCATGTTCTAACCAGATCTATACGATAGGGTATATTACCTTGGACACACCTGCGCCCTCGAACTCGTGAAACGATCTAAACATTCAGAACAATAGGAGGAATTGAGTGAGAGAATGGATCTCAGATGTGAAGGATCGCCAAAAGGGAGTAGATCTGATCGATCCGACACCTTTTCTTCCTTTATGGCTTTTACATTTCATACAGACAACAGGACTGACTTTTATAAGAAGGATTAGCATTTCGTCGAACTGTCCAATAACATTCTTCGGGCAATAATAGAGAACCAGGAGATGGCCCGGAAGATTGGGGTGATGGATTCATCTTTTATTTGTTCTTCTTGATGGAGATTTTTCTTGTGATGGGGGAATGCACCGCCTCGCACTCTCAGAAAATAAATTTAAATTTCATGGACTAACTTTTGTCCGGCCTAATTTGTATTCTTAAGAAATATCAGACATACTCGATATTATTTATAGATTCTTTGTTTATTAGACACAGTTATTTATTCCCACGCGAAAAAAATCTCAAAATATATCGAAAAAGGTTTTAAATTAATGAAATTCGGGGCCAAGTTTAACCGATGGATTTTGTCGATCCCTCCATAGCTTTCACACTCTACAGTAAATACCGAATAAGTAAATTGGTTTAAGCTATTTAGTCAAGGTGTCCATGGCCAATGAGTTGATATTAAAAAAATGGTAGTTTGTGCACGTCGCAGTGAGTTGACTCCACCATGACAAATCGGAGACAGATAGGAACCATAATGGTGGCTTTATAGAACAATAATATACCGTAGGAATAACACACTGAGGGGGAGATGACATCCCATTTGACGTTTCAAGGGGGAGTGTGTCTATTTGCACGGGGGTGTCGCCGACAGTTTGGCCAAATAAGCTGGATATATCGGTTGGGTCGGATTGTTAGCATCGTACCATCCTGACGAGACTGGTAAAGAAGGAGAGAAGGGGGATGAAATGTGAAAAGGGATCCCGTTCACCTCATTACACATTCACCCATCAGCCAACTTCACCTTCACCCTCTATCTCGTCGCTGACTGACTGACTGACGGTTCTCTCCGCACGCTCGCTACAGTAATCCTGTCACACAATTCATACACATAAGGATCTTTTCTGTATTTACATAAATAGTGTATAATCATTTGTGTATTTTTCGGGGAGAGTGGGGAGGGTGGGGGGATAAAACTCTCTGGTGATTTCGTGAAAACTCGCGTTTTTGGGGGAGGGGGCGAAAAGGGGGAGATAGGGAGATGGAGAGATGGTAACCCCTCGTCGTGTAAACCCACGCCTAATTGCTCCGGATATCCACCCTCTTTCACCCCTCGGTATTACTCACTTTACCATAATCTCCTGGGTAATGGGGTCTCCAGCAAACACAGCCAGTGGAGTTACTCCTGATGGACTTTCTGAACCTGCGCCCACGTCTGCCTATACGGCCTTCGAAAAAAGATCGAAGACACTCTTTTGTCGAGATCGCGAATAGTGGGGTAGCTTCTTGAGATCCGGTGGGATACGCCCCCTCGATTCCGGTGCTAACATACTCCGCATTCACTTCCCTCCGCACTTCCCTCGGGTGGATTTAGTGCGTTTTTTTTTTGTCGCACAGTGGAGGACAGTTGGGCTTTCAGGGGTGGAAATTTTTTCCAATCGTATTGGGTATCGGTGTATAGAGACTTCGAAAATATGGGCTATAAAAAGTTGCTATTAATTATGGAATAGTAGAAATTTTGGGGGAAAATTGAATTGCCTGTCTCAGGGCATTTCCGGATCTCGCAATACGAATTTATACCGGTCGCATTTATTTGTTGCGAAATAATTAACATCTTTTTCTCGTTTTTTAAATAGAGGATGAGAGTCGTTTTGCGGCTGATGTAGCTCGTATTATTCCACTTCGCTTGATCGTGCCCACCTCGTTTCCGCGTTTGCTGCGCAACATGGCGATTATGGTTGTTTCTTGCTCCCGCTTCCTCTCTCCCGTCGACCCTTTGGTTTCTTTTTTTTTCTGCTGCAGGAATTGTGCACGACAGCGTCAGTTAAACAGCGAAAGCATACTGAGAATTCCAATTAGTCGTCATTTGAAGGTTTACGAATGAAATTATGGTGGTGAAGTGTAATTACAAGGCTTAAGCTGTTGCGAATTGCGGCATTGTTAATAAATTGAAATGTGAGACCCAAAAATACATATCAAGTGGAAAGTAGATCAACTGAAAAAAAAATATTCACAAAACTA